GTGTGTTTGGGTGTGTTTGGGTGTGTTTGGGTGTGTTTGGGTGTGTTTGGGTGAGTTTGGGTGAGTTTGGGTGAGTTTGGGTGAGTTTGTGTGTGTGTGTGTTTGTGTGTGTTTGTGTGTGTGTGTGTGTGTGTGTGTGTGTGTGTGTGTGTGTGTGTGTGTGTGTGTGTGTGTGTGTGTGTGTGTGTGTGTGTGTGTGTGTGTGTGTGTGTGTGTGTGTGTGTGTGTGTGTGTGTGTGTGTGTGTTTTTGTGTGTGTGTTTGTGTGTGTGTGTGTGTGTGTGTTTGTGTGTGTGTGTGTGTGTGTGTGTGTGTGTGTGTGTGTGTGTGTGTGTGTGTGTGTGTGTGTGTGTGTGTGTTTGTGTTGTGTGTGTGTGTGTGTGTGTGTGTGTGTGTGTGTGTGTGTGTGTGTGTGTGTGTGTGTGTGTGTGTGTGTGTGTGTGTGTGTGTGTGTGGGTGTGTGTGTGTGTGTGTGTGTGTGTGTGTGTGTGTGTGTGTGTGTGTGTGTGTGTGTGTGTGTGTGTGTGTGTGTGTGTGTGTGTGTGTGTGTGTGTGTGTGTGTGTGTGTGTGTGTGTGTGTGTGTGTGTGTGTGTGTGTGTTTCGTTGTTTGCGTGTTTGTTTTGAGGCTGCCTTTGTGTTAGACTGGTTTTAGCGGAGACCAAAAAGGACCACTCCCAAATGTTCCTCCATTGTCCGGGCCCCGTGTCGATATTCCCTCCTTGTTCATGCCGATGAGATCGCAGGGCAGAGCGCCGCAAATGAAGCCCCGCTCCACTTCAACGGCGCCGCGGATCATCTCGTGCACGATGTCCTGGCTGTGGCTCAAAATCATGTACCAAAATGGCTGTGGGTGAACACCAATGGTACCATTTGGGGTATGTGCACAACCCATTTTAGTCTATTTTAGTGGGGATTGGGATGTTCACTGGGGGTACGGGCTTTGACCCATGGCCAGCCAAATGACACCTTGGGGAATGGAACCAAAGACTGAAAGCTGCGGTTTGCCCTAGCTCTCCAATTTTGAGCCACACCCTCCTCCGGCAGCTTCTTCTGCAACATGCCATACCTCGCGCAAGGCCATGGGACTTTCCATGGGGTTTCTCACAACTCGTGCCTCGTGCTGCAAAGAAAAGGCTTGGTCACACAAATGCCCTTCAGGTAAGGGCTTCGGAGGTCGGAATGCTGAACCAAGATGTTGGAGCTAACGCGAAAACACAACACACGAAGCTACACCAGGACCCTCCAATGGCTGGAAAATATCACAGACCATTTGCCAGCCATTGGGGGATCCTGGCAAGTGGCATACAACCTCCAGGCCCCCAAAAAACCTATAGCTGACACGGCCTGGACATTTTCACGGAAAACACTTCATCCCGAAAAAGGACCAAGGATGGCACCGGGCTGCAGAAAACAGGTGAAGTCTGCGTGAAGCCCTTCGTCCCTAGAGATGAGCTCGTTGGAAAATGTCAGGCCAGGCATCAGGCCTCGCTTCTTCAGCCTTGGCCAGATTCTCTCACACCCAGTGATGAGTGTCGAGGACAATTTTGCCGGCGCCCAAATTCCGGGCCAAGACATGCCGGCTACACGCTGCATCTTTCTCAGCCCAAACAACCCCACCCCCACTCCACACCCACACCCACACCCACCCCACACCCCACCTCCACCCCACCTCCACCCCAAACAACCGAATTGTTTCCGGGCTTCTCATCTCCGGGGAGGGGGGGAAAAAAAACCGGCGCAAGTCTCGCCCATCCGGCCGCGCAGCCAGAAGAGTGCACAACAGGACCCGCTGAAGAAGATCCCCTCCACCACAGCAAAGGCCACCAGTCTCGGATGCCGGCTGGGTGTCGACTCCACTTGAGTCAAAGCCCATCAAAAGCAGACCTCTTCTTCCATTTGGTTTAAGGCCCCAGAAAAAATGAAAATATGTGCAGTAGCCAGTAGTGACGAACTCCTTTTAAAACCAACAAGGGAAAACAATGTTCTTAAGCAAATGGAGGTCTTGCTTAAAGTTCGGCCAGTGGTCAGCCCCAGCACCAGTGCCTCAGCAAAGACCAACATGGCTCCTTCTGCTCGCAAACGCTTGGTGGCCGTAAATCACCATCCAACTCATGTCCACCAAAGGGTTCCCTGAAAAAGGGTACCGTTTTTACCTGGAAACCCAAACCCCCCCACCCCCCCCCCCCAAAAAAAAAAAAAAAGAAACTCCGCCGCACCCCAACCCCCCGCCTCTCAGTGAAGGAGGCCTCCCGGTTCATCCACTGCACCGCCCACTCGGCCTTCTCGCGCACCGCGGGCATCCCGTGGACCGCCTCGAAGAGCCGGTCCTTCTCCGCCGGGTCCTCGCTCGCAGGGCTCACCGGTGGCTTCGCTTTGGCGCTGGGGGAATAGGCCCAAGCCGCAAACAATGAGCTCAAGGAAGATAGTCCAGAGCACTCCAAGCTCAACCAAGAGGGTGCCTGATCTTGTTTCCACCAAAAGATGGGTGTCCCTTGTTTCAAGCCGCGGTACGTGGTTAAGTGTCTTGGTTTCCTTGGTTCTCCAGCAAGTCTTCTGCTCCAAAGGCTCCTAGGGGTCTGCAAGGCACCAAAATTGGCGTTGGTCCTTTGATGATACCCCATTCATGTGGAAAATAACCCTGAGACATAAGCCTTTCTGTGATACCCTTTGGTAGGATTCTCATCCCTACTTTGTCACTTTGGGCGCATGAGACATAACCCTTGTACGGGGAGACCTGCAATCACAAAAACGTGGCGACCTGAAGCCCAAAGCGTCCACCATGGTCCTTGATGTACTGCTCGATCAGCAGGGAATAGGTCTCGGGCCCAAAGTGACATAACCGACTCTTGTGGCTTGAGGGGTTCGGGACAGGTCCGCAAAAAATTCGAGTTGTGAAGAACTCAAAAGCTTAAGAAATCTCAGACCTCCCAAAAAGAGGCCGCAAAGAAAGTGCTTTTTCGGGCTTCCCTAAGATGTACATTTTAGGTGAGTTTCTTGCAGGCAGACCCCCCCCTTCAAAAAGGGCTTTCGCCATGGCCTCGGAGTGGATGTTCTCCATGGCCATCTGGAACCCATAGAAGGCCCGCGCCTGCGAACGACCCCCGAAGCAAATGCGAAGCGTCAGATACGGCCCGATTGCTTAAGCGATGGTAAGGTTTTTGGTCCGGAGCAAAAGGAAATGGCAGGCCCTTTTGAGACAACCCCGTCCGTTGCGGATACGTCCTCTAGGGAAAAAAGGTGAACAACATATGTAGTGATAGATGCCAACTTTAAACCCAGGGGAAACTGGTAAAGTAAAGCAGTCTTAAGCAATAAGTCATTGAGCTTTCTTTTTAATTAACGGGTCCAAGGACTGGTTGTTTAACCAATGGCCTCGTTTCCCTTCAGGCGATCGCCGTTATGAAGAATCCTGGTTTCTTTGAAAGGGGATTCCGGGAAAAACGAAACAATGTTTGCAACCACATGTGTCTACTTTGTCACTAGAGGGGGATTTCTTCGGAAGGCAACAACATTCTTCAAGCCATGGCTGTTGGTTTTCAACGATTCTCAGGTCGGTTTCAAGGGATGAACAATGGCGGTGAAAAACGACAATGGCGGTCCAAAGCCCTTCGACACCACACCGCAGACCCAACTTGGAGTTTCCCCTTGAAGTCTTCCCCTTTCAACAAGCTGAAAAAGGATCCCATGTCACACAAACAAACCACACCCTCTGCGTTCTGACCGATTCCCACAACTGCGGTCTGGTTTAAACTCGGTTGATTTCTGCTCCCCTGCCAAAAGTTTTTAACTTTTAGTTGGTTTAATGGAAAACCCATGAGTTGGCAAAAACAAGTCCTAATATCCCTTGGCAAAATGCAACAAAGTAAACATTTTCTCCCACTGGACCTCCGGCATCTGGACTTCTGTGGAGAACTGCGCCGCGAGGTTCTCCGGCACGATCCCGTTGGCTGCGAAGAACCTGAGCTTTGGCGTCGCTTCGCTTACGAGCTGAAAATGGGAAGGCTTGGCATTGTTATTAGCCTCCCACCAATTAACATGAAACCCCTGCTCAAACACTCCTGTTGCCGCACCCTGCTTTTTCAACCGCTCACTGCTCGCCGGCGCAAGTTGGTGTGGACGTTGCAGCGACACTGGCACGTAATGGATGCGAAGTGGTCCCAAGCAGCTTCGAAGAAAGAACTGGAGCTGCACACTCACACAGGACAAAAATGCCAGAGCGCTCTGCAGATACCAGGGTGGCCCGCGGGGGGGCTAGAAGCTGTCGTCATTCACAGATGTTTCATGAAAGGGCATGAAACCCCTGCTCAAACACTCCTGTTGCCGCACCCTGCTTTTTCAACCGCTCACTGCTCGCCGGCGCAAGTTGGTGTGGACGTTGCAGCGACACTGGCACGTAATGGATGCGAAGTGGTCCCAAGCAGCTTCGAAGAAAGAACTGGAGCTGCACACTCACACAGGACAAAAATGCCAGAGCGCTCTGCAGATACCACTCTTAGGGAAAGGCCAGCCGCGACTGGTTCACGTCGCGGCGTGCTGCACGACTGTTGCTGTCGCATCAGCGACGACCTCTGGTCTGCAGGAGGATCTTCAAGGAAACTGGAAACAAAGCCGCTGAAGCTTGAACTTTCTTCTTGCAGTCTTCTGGTAACGAGGCTAGTGACAAGCTAGCAGTCACTTCTTGCAAGTAGTGTTGGAGTGTATCGACATGCTTTAGGCGTAGAGCCCACATCACATCAGTGATGGTGGCACCTGCTCTGTACTTGTGAACTGCACCTCCGCCCCTGAGTGACGCAGGAGTGAACTGGAGAGAAACTGGTATCCCCAATGCTTTCAGGATTGCATCCCAACGCCGGCGAAAAGTTGAAGGCGTGGCTCCATACAACGGCTCATCGCTTCTACTAGCACCGTAAACAAGCTGGCAAAGCGAGATGGTTCGATCATCTGTGATCTTAGAGTGTTGCATGCTGCCCAGACCGCGCTTCCCGCTCTTAGGTTTGCAAATCTGCAGGAAGCAGATCTGATCCTCAAGGAAAAGGTCTGCGGGGAGCACAGGCTCCTTCCTAGTCGCCCTCAAAACTTCTCCGGGCCTGCAAGCTCCATGGAAGGCTAACAAAGTTATGCTAGCCCAGCGATACCATTTCCAGCACATTGCTAGGTTCACCATTGCTAACAATAACGAGTAGGGAAGTGGTGGCCTATGTCTTATGGGTTCTACCGCTTCCCAACGTGTCACAAGCTCCCAAGCTGGACGACTGGCTTGCCGCAATGCAGGCATGAGGCGCTGGCCATGCACCACAAGGTGTCGAAACAAGTACAGCGGTTTATTCTGCTCGTAGAGGTACTTACCATAGGTTCTGAGTAGTACTGCAATCAAACCAGGCACTGCTAAACACGCGTCAAGGCAGTCTGGACCAACCTTAGCACGGCACCAAGCAAGAAACAGGTTCCATTGCTCAATTCCAAGCTTCAAAGTTGCTGGCCTGATCAGTTCCACACTTTCTAGATCAGGCACCGACCGCGCTGGATAACGTCTCTGGGGGCCTGGGTTCTTGGCCTCACCAATTCGGCGATGTACCTTGCGTGGCAACAACTGCAGCTCGTAAGCTGCTGCCCAAGCCAGCTTACTGCAAAGCTGACGAGGGTAAGGCTCTGCGACTTTGGTCCAACAGCACCTATGTAAAGAGCTCCGGCCCCTGAGCCGGATGTGTTGGTGGCCCCCTTTACAGAAGTCACGCTGGTCACGCAAACAGCTGTTGGTGCAGTACCGAGTGCGTTTTCTCCACTTGGTGTGGAACCGGCAGAAATCACACCGGTAGAAACCCAAGCTATAACGAGCCATAACTTGCTTGATGGATTTTTGGTACCAAAAGAAACTAGTGTCGGGATTCTCGACCCAGAAAATGATATGAAGCGCACAGCACAAGCCAATGATTTCACTAAGCCAAGCGCTGAAAGAGTTCCCCTCTAACACTTTTGGATACATTTTGGGGCAAGAGAACTTTAGTCCTATGATACCAGCAGGATGAAGCTTATTCCTCACCGGAGGAGTGATTGCTCGGGAGAATGAAGCACAAGTTGGCGCTGCGGAGAGGTGGTCAAACGCTCCGCCCTTCAGTAGTACCTCAATTGATCGGCGGACCTCTTTCTTTGTGAGGTCTTGGTTTGGGCTATCATTTATTTCGAAGGTGAGCACCCACGGTGCCCCTGCTTGTGTAGCAGCCCTCGCAAACCCCTTGCGACCCGAGAAGAGGTCGATGAAACCTCGTTCCGTCGGTGGCCAACATTCAGGATCTCTCAAAATGAACTGGGTGCGAGGGAAACTCATGAGAACTGCGTGGGCTTCCTCAGTCCAAGGCAAATCGCTGCTATAGGGCGGCGGTACTTTGAGTGTGTGTTTGCGCTTCACAAGTTTATTTAATACCTTAGCTTTATGCCGTTGGTTTTTGGGCTTGTCAAACAGTGACCCATTCTGCACAGCTACTTCAGGGAAAAGCTCGGTCACTGGAGGCAAACCACAAACCTGCTCTGGCAACAGCTCACAGGCATCAAGGAAGGCATCCATACCTGCAAAGTCACCGCGCTGAGCGGCGACCCACCAGGCTGGCACTTCAAGCTCGGGCTACCTCTAGTAGGGTCGTCGGCTGGATTATATTTGGTCCTGGTATACCCCGAAAAACTATATACGCCCAGCCCAAGGCAAAAAGGAAGGCTTTTCTGCAGCTCGTGGCTTAAGGCTGGGGATGCAGACCGACCTTTGTTGATGGCACCTAAACACACTTGGCTGTCACTGGAAATGCCAACACGGACATCTCCACCTTTGGATGCTGCATCTTTTTCGGCCATGATGAACGCTCGCAACTCTCCCACGTTGATGCGCCTGCCGCTCTTGGCTCTACGTTTGGCGACCAACTTGAACTGTAGGCAGCGGGCTGCAGTCTCCCAAAGCGGGTGCTCGGTGTAGCAAGGCTCTCCATCTGGCAGCTCTTCACTAGGATCGAGTACACCCTTTTCTCTCTGAAGAGACTTGAAGGGAGTGAGCAAACGAGTCCACGCAGGCTTATTCAATGAGTGGCGCAGCATTTCTCGGGACAGCTTTTCTCCAACGGGAGCAGTCACCACAGCCTCGCCCCAGTTAGAGGCATCTGTCATGTAAAGCTCTTCACAGAAGCTAGAGCGAATATTGGTGACAGCTAATGGGGCTAGGCAAACGCACAACACTAACTCATCGACCAGTGCGTCACTGAGAGGAATCACATGCTTGGGATCCAAACCGCCCGGTAGCTTGTAGATTTCAGTAAGCAAACTGAAAAGCCTGCGCCGAAAAGAAAACACTGAAATGAAGACCCCAGCCACTGTTTCCAAAAGTGATATGGAAGCATACCCAATGCGTATCACGCGGCAAACTACGGCAAGCATCGGGATGACACGCTGAGGGTTGGCCCAAAAGGTAGCTTCAGTAGAATCACGAAAGGATTTCTTGGGGTGGGTCTGAAGTCCTACAAACTTATACTGCCTGCCCATTGCTGCAATCCTTGTGCATGCATCTGCGGACATACTGCTATTCCCGTTGAGATCTCTCAGAACTTTTTCCATGTACACCAGATCATCAATTATGATCCCAGTGATGAACCTATCCCGTGGCACCCGCCCCCTCAGTGTAAGGAGCTGCTGCAAAGTGAAAGCACCAGACCTGATTCCTAACGAAAGGTGGGCGGTTTGAGCAAACTCGCACGCTGAACAGTCGCCCATAGCTAGGCTTCGCAGGCATGCATATGCCACGCAGTCATCTGGGATATCCTTCGGACAAGCTTTGAACTTCTTTGCCTCACGACCAGTCATGCTGCCAACAAGAAAATTCCTATGGCACGTGCGTCTCCGACGATGAACTTGTAGTAGTAATCAACCAAATCGTCGCCCCCCATTACCAGATCCTCTTCTGGTTCCAAGCTAAGGTCAAGCAGGTTGCTTGCCGAAGCCATTGACAGGATCCATCTGTTAAGAAGAGGTTGGAGAAGATTGGGCCTTCTGGCATCGAGTATCATCGTATCGAATTGCAAATCCTTAATGACACTAAATAGACCATTAGGTGCGAACTCCCTCACTTGATCGGCGGTGGCTATGGTTAAGCGGGTGGTGCGATCAAGCTTGTGAAGCAGCTGCATCTTCTCACGATGGGTGGCATGCACTTTAACAACTGGAAAGGGCACATCTACTTCGGAAGGATCTAAAGCTTGTCCTACTGGGTCCTGGTACAGGATCTTGCTCCGGGTATCTAAGTAGGGTAGAGGGTCGAAAGTTGGCTCGCCCTCCATCTTGATCCTGTCTGCTACAATCGGTTGTGCGACTTCGAGGTTGCTGGTTTGCAACCGGGCGATCGGTTCAGCTGGCTCCTGCACCTTAGGCATCGATCGGAGTTTGCTCCGTTGGTAACCTAAGTGCAGGTTGCATTCACTGGCTACAGTCTCCAAGGTGTTAAGCACCTCCTCTAGTGCTTCATGTTTTGATGCTCCTCGGCCCATATCACTAGGCTCGATCACAGGGAAATTCGCCCAACCTGAGCTTAACCGAATGAATCGATCGACGACTTTCAACTGCTGCCGGTTGAGCTTCACTCCCAACCGGATAGCGTCAGGACAACACCGAGGCCTGCCTAGAAAGATCCAATTCAAACTGGCAACTTCCAAGTTTACGGCACGGCGCAATTCACAGTCTAAGCCATCTCTGCCCTTCAAAAACACATCTGGAAAAGGAAGGGGCATCGGCCAAAGCACAGCTGTGGAGTCAACACTTTGCTGACCCTCCGGCATCTTGAGCATTGAGCGGAAAAAGAAACTAAAATGTTTCGAGCATCGGAGAACTAACCTCGGCAGGGATTTCCAAAGCCTGTCAAGATAAGTGGTGGATGCACGGGAGCCAGGCACATGACGATCTACTCCTCGCTGGCTTAGAGGCTTCTGCAGGGTGAGGTCTACTGCTATGACGGTCTGTTTGTTTCTCAACAGGACATGCATGAGAAGACCCCTCCCCAGTATCAACCTCTTGAATACTAACGCTATCAAGCCCTTGATTCAAACTATGGGGCCCCATGCAGTGCGATGAATTGGAAGCACCACTACCGCTTAAGGTGCTCGGCATGGATTCTTGAAGGGTGTCATTCGACAAGGAGCCATTGCAGGTGCCGGCCCACCGACCGTGTTCCGCAGTAGGCCCAAAGGACCCCCGCGCTGAGGCTGTAGAGCTCGGCAAGTGGACCGACACCTCGCTTGGCTGATCCTCGCCCTTCAATCTTGAGCTGGCGTTGCAGAGCTCTCGCCTTTTGCGGCTCCGCCTCCCTGATATTTGCCTGACTTGCCCTTGGATTTCCCCTTGGCCTGTTGCTTGTTGGTGGTCTGCTCCTCCTCTTCCTTGCGACCAGTTTTTGAGCCAAGCTTCCTTCTTCGCTCGACGTAATCGTCGTTGTCCTTCACTGCCGAAACGAAGGCATCGATCCAACGTGGATCGAGCAGCTTGCTGAATTGCTGCTCCGTCGCATCGGGGAGGGAGTGACTCTGGAACGTTGAGTAGGGCGGTGCACTCTCCAGAGCTATTTCCTGGCAAAGTAGCCAGGACCCCCGATCGATGCTCTGCTGTTCCGCTTGGCACAACATGAGGCAAAGACGGGCTCTTGCCTCGTCGACAGCCCCGTTCCGTAGGGCGTCTGGTGCCCCTGCTGCAGCCCATGACCATCTCACTGATTGAGGATAATTCGGTATCCTGCTTCTGTATTGCGCCCATCCCCTGGCTGTCATTTGCTGCTGTCCAGTCCCTGGAGCAGCAGCTCGTTGATGAAAGTCCTCCTCCATGTTCTGCTCTATGCTCTGCCAGATCTGCTTCGGTGAGCTGATCAGAGCTTTGCGAAGGGCTTTCAAAGCTGCTGCACTTCGACGGCTGGAAAACTGCACACTGCTGTCGTGCGATGACGACCCGGCTGTACCAACGCCGTCTAACATGTCCTCGAGTGAGGGCTCTTTCTTCTTTGGATCGGCAAGTTTGGACACAATTCTGGTCAGCTGGGTCAAGGCTGCTGCTACAGGGTCTATGTCTGCAGGAAGCTCTGGCTGAACTTCCAGAGGCTCTTCTTCGGCCTCTGATTCCGACAACGGATTCTTGCGAGCTTGGTTCTTGCGGGGGAGGTCTTCTAATCTTTGGGGCTTTTCCTGAACCAACTTCCCTATGGTCTCCAACTGCTCTATGGACACCCCCGACTGGATTGCGGATGCGACTACGGTTGGATCCAAGGCCAAGCGCGATGCTAACTTGCTGGCTTCGTTTGCTGTCGACGTCCTGGCAGCATGAGGCGGTGGGCTGAGTCCTGGAGGTGCCCCTGTGTAGCCCCCCCTGGCTTTTGGAAACCCAAATTCGTCTGCATCTTCTTCTGCTGTTACGAAACCTGACGAGAGCGGGACCCGCCTTCCTTGCTGTGGAAGACTCTGCTGAACTGCAAGGGTCAGCTGTTCGATGCTTGCTCGAACTGAGGAGAAGTCCGTCTCCAACTTCTCCAATCTGGCTTCGACCACTGGTGGCAGCGCTTCGGCTGTCTCCCCTGTCAGCTGTACACCGAACTGGGACCTGGCTACTTGCTCCAATGCTGAGGCTGCAGGCAAACATTGAGGGTCCCCCCGAATGAATGTAAAATCGGCGTTGTCTGGGTTGTACTCCGCAAGATTCGAAAGCAGGTTCTCGGACGCGTAACCTACCCACGCCTTTATCTCAAGCTCAGGCACGACAACACTACGATCTGCGGGCTCGGATGCAATCAGGCCTGCCAGGGATGCGCGAACCAAGGAACCTTCGACCAACACACGTCTGGCAGCCGTTCGGTGCCAAACTTCGGATGGTAGAGCGACCAAATATCGCCCTCGATGACTTGCAATCACTATGATACTAGCACTTCGGTTTTCCCCAGCTCTAGTCACAAAACTCACAGTGAGTGGAGAAAATTATGAATTCACACCACTGGTCTGGAGCACAGTATAGGCGGCAAGATCAAAAGGCTCACCGTCGATCCCGTCTCCGTCTCCAGCCTCATCCACTGCTTCTTCCATCTACTACGCCGGCCAGCGGAAGCCGGCTGTGGCAACTGCAATCCTGGCCTCCCACTTGGAGGCAAATCCAGCGAAAATGGAATCACCAAATGTAGAACCCCTGCTCACCAAAGGCTTGAGTTCAGAGTAGGTGTAGATCACACGTACTGAATCAGTGATTACGACACCGTTGATGTCGCGGATGAGCACGTAAACCCGGTTACCCAGCTTGACCCTTTCACGCCCCGATAGGCCCCTCCGGGAGCCTTCCAGACAGCGCAGAAAGTATCGGCCGGTCTCCTCAGCGGCCTCAGTTCGGACAAGGCCGTCAGAATCGGTGTAGCCCGAACTGGAGCTTGCAGCTGATGCGGCAGAAAGCACAACCTCGAATTGATCACTTTCAAGGACAGCGATCCGTGCCCTCAGCACACTCACCTCCTCTTGAAGCTCAGCTAGTTCACGGCGGAGCTGACGGATCTCGTCACTCATCCAAGTTTGCGATGCAGAGTGTCACCAAAGGAACCCCGCAAAAGCTGCTGGGTCCGAAGGCGCAACCACAAACCCAGCCACTGGCGCACCAGGTAGATAAACTCAATTACTGGCCAAAGCAAAAATCCCAGGAAGATACCGATTACCAAGGAGGGCCAGTGAATGGATGAGCTTGATGGCCACAGCCCGACACTATCACCAGTATGGATTGGCAGAATGGATGGATCCCAGGGCTCAGAGGTGGTTGACAGCACAAGATCTTTAGCCAGCCAGCCCAATAGTGCACCCAAAGAAGATCCACCACCGGCAGACAAGGCCAAGTCGCGCATGCGGCCCCACACTTAAGCCTAGAAGCTGTCGTCATTCACAGATGTTTCATGAAAGGGCATGGAACCTGACAGGGGGTTCTGGAAGTCCATTCTCCTTGTATGGGGACCCTCTGGTGGGTTCGATGTTAATTGGTGGGAGGTACCAACCTTCAGGGGGGCCTCAAAAGAAAAAAACACCCGATGGGAAGTTTGGTGGGAATTCCGTTGCCGCCTTTTGGTCGATAGGGAAGCCAAGGAGAACAACCATTTTAGGACGCCAAGTTGATAGCAACTCAAAATCAGGGATGCTGAAGGGGTGCAACCAGTGAGATCGATTGCGCAAGCCCATGCTGGTTCTTCCAACACAGTTGCAACGGTTTATATGTTTATATGAGGGCTATCCCTCAACCTGGTAGAGAAGGTTGGACTTCCCCAGTTCCCATGCCCCCGCTCTGCGGCAGAGAAACGCCAAGACATGCTTCACAAAGTGCTGCTCCCCCTCTGTCAGCCTCTCCCAGTCCTTGTTGTCCTGGTAAGTCATAGTCAAACCTGGCAGTAAAATGGTCTACCCAGAACCATGTGAAGAATGAGGAAGGCGGATATCCGCAGCTATTTATTGTTGGGATTGTCCCTGACTATCCTTCTACCCGAGTTTTGAGCAAGTGGCTCTCGACTCGTGACTTTGCATGTTGCGAGAAAAGAAAACACGGTGGCTGGTTGGGGGACGAAATTCAAGCCAATGAAAGGGCACCCAAGGGCCTTTGGTTCCCTGGCTCAAAACCCTGGGTTTAAAACACTCAGTTCCATACAAAACCGTTTGGGTTTTCGAGACACAACACTTTGGAGTTGGAAGGTCCTGCATCAAATCGATCTCCTCCGCCGTCCAGAAAGAAGCCTTGTGCTTCTTGTAGAACTCGTAAAGCTCTTCGTGCTGGATGGGAAACATCACCCAGCGTCTGGGATTGTGCTGCAGCAGGGAATCCTCCTTCTCCAGCTCCTCTTTTACCCCGAAGATGACATGTTTCGCTCGAGCCACAACTTGATTGACCCTTGTAGTTGATCCAGTGCGTCTGGGGAGCCCAAAGTAGGGAAAAGTCGAAGACGTGTTGTTCGTTTGGCGGCAGGTTCCTTGTACTCGTCGGAAACTCGGCTCTTCTTCGGAGCTGTCGCCAGATCCGCTGAAGTGGCAACCGCCGGCATGAGGTCTGCCATTGCCACTAGCGGATAGCCGAAACGGCTGCAAGGCAGCAGACTTGGCGCGTCTGTTTGGAGGAGGCCCTTTTTGGTTCTGAGATGGCTGAAGCCCATTTTGATTGCTTGATTCCAACTCCAACACCCGACAATTCGGGGCCATAGCAAGGGGAGCCATAGCAGGGACCGGGCCTAAAGGGCCCTAGTCACAATTACTCACTACTCGGCATGGCAAGGGTTTCCTGGTGATGTCCAGTGGCATGAACACTTTGTGGAAGGCTTGAAGGGGGCTTTGCCTAGATAAACTCGTCTTCGGCATGCCTTCTGTGTTGCTTCTGCATGACTTCCGCGCTTTCCCTCGTGCGTTTCCGTCGTTACGGCACACATATGTAATACATGTGTGTATATTAATATATATGTATATATCTACAATATATATATATATATATACACACAGAATACACGGTGTGTGTGTGTGTCGCTAGCCCTGACCTGTCCGAATCTCTTCCGCCCTTCCGAGTCGCTTCCGCAGTGGGAATCTCATGCCATGTGAGCCTGGAAACTCGGAATACAAAACCGAGTACATGTCATGACGCCCACATGTGGGTGTGTCTCCTTTTGCTGGTATCCTTTTTGGATGGGTTTGAAGGGAAACCAACAGGAATCTCAAATCAATCCCATATGAGGGAGTCCCCTGCTTTGACACAACCCCATTAAGGTCAGAAGCAACCCACTTCCTCCCCACCTTGCTGTGCTTCTCTGCATTGTCACCGAGGCTCGACTCGAGGAAATCCACGCGCTCCCTACATCCACCGCCCGCGAAACATCTGGACGCAGGCAAAATTACTTGCTTCCCCAGTACATGGGAAAATTGGGCGGTCTTTCCCCACGCCTTCCAGACATTTGGGTGGACCATCGAGATCCTTCCTCAAACCCGTAGACCACCATGGTCAGTTGCTCAAATCGGAACTCCAAAGCCACCCAGCTGCTGAGTCCATGGAGACAACCCTGTCCTCAGAGACACGTGGGCGATGTCCTGCTGCGCCTTCTGACCTCGCAAAATTCGAAGCTGAGTCGCGCTGAGTGAGTCGTGCGGAGGTTCTAAATTTGTGACGGATACCTAGATTGAAAGAGGGATCCCCCTTCCTGCAGCCAGATATGAGAAATGGAGGCCACTGAAACTCATCGTTGGGTGGTCAACATCCAGGGTTTTAGACCCCCGAAATGGCTTCGGTGAACGTTGAAAAAGGGGACCAACGCCCAAAAATGCCCAAACCCTGCTTTCGGACTGGTCTTTTGGAGTCAACCTTTGAAAGGGTACCGCTTCTGGGCCAACCTTGAAAGGGTACCACTTCTGGTGTTCCATTTGGTTTCTCTTGAAACCAATCTTTGAAAGGGTACCGATTTTGGTGTCGAGCCGCAAAAAAAAACACGGCCCCGCATAGGGCAGCGGCTGCTGGCTGTTGCTTGGACCTTCTTGAGTTCGTCAATGTGCTCCCCATGCCTCGAACGGATCGCTCGCAAGCGCGTCAAACGTGGAAAGGCTGGGTCCAAGAGGTAGTTGAGAGTTCAGGGTTCCCTAGGTTTCCTTGGCTAGGTCCTCCAGTAGAGAGGTTAGAGTAAGGGTACCAACTGTTGTCTGTAGTCTATTTTTGGTAGGGGAACCCTCCCCCAAAAAGAATCGGTAAAAGGTGAGAAAGGGCACTGGGGGACCTAGGGTTCCTTCGGCTTAGGAACCCCTTCCCCGGAAAATTCCATACAGAGTCTGCGTCGATCGTACCCTAAAATCGCCTGGATGATGGTTCCAAACTCATGGTGAAGAAACACCGGAGGGTATCTGTCTGGCCAACACTCGCCCTTTCAGCATCGACACGGCTCTCTCCAACCGCCAAGTTCACGGCGAAATGGTTTTCAAAATGTTTCTTGGTCGACCAACCTGCGTTTTAGGTCAGACAAAGCAAGGGCCGGAGAAGAAAAAAAAAGGAATCAAGGCCTCCGAGGAGTGTGTGAAGCTCGAAGAGTTTCAATCAAATTGAATCGAATATGGTCGACTCTGCCTGCCTTTTCAGGGTGCGCATTTGGTTAGGTTGTGATAAAGTGAGAACACCCAAGGAAAACCGCATGTTTCTTGGGGAGGGATTCCAAAACCGCTTGACGCAAAGCCGTTCAGATCTTCCAAGCCCCGGACTTCTCCACTTGCGACAGCCGGCTGTGCACCTCCCAGGATCGGATCCATTCGGATCGATTCGGATCGATTCCTTGGAGCGAGCCACAAAGTTTTGGTACCCCCACGAACGACCAGCACGTTGACGGTTGGTTGCTACATGGCTACGGATTTTTTTTCTAGGCCTCATAAACCCGTGCCAGGTACCATCCAAAAGGGCCAGTGCAGGTTTTGGGCGCTCAAGTGGAACAACAACTCTTGAAAAATAGCTTCGGAGACTCCGCGTAAGTTGGTCACTTCTGGACAAAAAACGAAGCCCCGAACTGCAAAGCCAAGCGCTTTGCATCTCAAGGCCACTGTCAAGCTCCAAAGTGTTTGGGGGTGATGCGTCCAAAATCCGAGTTGGTAGGACATTGCGGTGACAGGTCTCCTTGCCGAACCTGGACTTCTGAACCTAGACTAAGCATACCTTCCCACAGGAAAGCTGCAGTGTCCTTCGCCGATGGGAGCTTTCTGAACAGACATTCTCAGATCCAATGGTCGGGTATTTTCCAGGTGCGAAAGGCACCGCGGTCCCCTCTCCGAAGACCCTGGCCAGAAGCAACCCCCACAAACCACTTGCTGCAACCAGATTCAAAGCCCCAAAAAATCTTAAGATTCAGAAAACAATGGGTGAACCACCAACAAACACAACAGCTTCAAAGGTTGCTCCCTTGATAGCATGGCAAAGGGCCGATGCTCAAGCGGCCGGGGAACTTCGGTTCCAGCTGTCCTAGGGCCGAATTTCCATGAGAGGTCAAAATCAAGGACCCCGGCTTCGCGGGTTTGTCCAGGGAAGACCAAGGTATGTTTCTTGCTATCAATGTAGTGAAGGGCAAAGATATCAACTGCCAAGCCAAACGACCCAGCTCACGAACTGGAATCTTCTACGGACCTTCAAAGGATATGCGGTTGCTCGTTCGATGCGCTGCAAGGTTTGGGGAAAATGGGAGGACGTTTGGATCCCCATGTTTCGGCTTCGGCGTTTTGGTTGCCCCCCTGACCCAACCCAAGTTGGTACCAACTCCAAAACGCAAAAACCAGCAAGCACATACATATATATATATATATATGCATATAGATACAATGTAGTTTACATATTCATGTGTGTATCTGCTAATATCTTCATATAAACATCTTTATATCATCGGTCACGTCCCCCAGACACCTTCCAGCCGCCCACAGCTCCACGAGTTCTCCGCAGCTCACGCGCGCCGCGCGCGAAACGCGCACCTGTTCGAACTTAGCCTGGGCCAGCTGCAGCTCCTGAGCTGCGTGTTCCAACAAAAGTCTCCCCAGCAGCGTCCCCAGGAGGTGCCCCGGAAATGTCCGTTTTGGGGAGGTGAAACCCTTGGGTGGGAATATCCATGTTGGGATGTTGAAAACATTGTGTTTTTGTTCTTCTTCCTTCTTTTTTTTTTGGGGGGGAAAGGAGTTGCCTACCCTAAACCTCCCCCCCTTGTTGTCCCTCTTTGGTGGAGGTATCCCTTATTTTGTTGGAATTTAGGTTGGACCATGTTGGCCAAAACAAGGTTCCCCCAAGTGACCCAATGTACCACCCGTCTTCGTGCTTTATTTTTCCATGACAAACTCTCGCAAGAACCATGGAACCTGGAAACCGTGGTTCTATGGAAAACGGGTGAGGACTGTGGTCCCACATGCCGTCGCCTTGGACGCTTCTGCGTGCTTGTCTGCAGAGTCACCGAGCGACTTCTCCAAATATGTGAGGCCTTGGTGCTCCGAGCTCGGCGTCGGAAAAAATCGGTTCGGGTGGATTTGGGCTGGGCCTTGGCTGGGTTTAAGGTGGGTTTAGGGTAGGCTTGTTGTTCGATGGGCTGAGGGGATCCAAATTGGGGTCTGAAAGCTCTCCCGAACTTGGAAGAGGCGCAACAACTTGGAGCCGAGAGCGTTTTGATTGGAGCTGAGCCGCCTGCTTCCAATTTCGGGACTTCCCCTGGCCTTCGCTTGCACAAACCTGCCTTGCTCCGCCGCAACCGATGCTCGCGAAAGGACAACATAACCTCCCTGCACTGGTATCAATTACAATGGTGGATTCCACTGCAGAGTCATCATCATCCCTGCATGGTTGCTGAATAGCGTTGTAATACTGCACATGGTCACCACTACACTGCACTGCAAGAAAAGGCTGCAACAAACGGAGAAAAAAACCAGCTACAATCATAGGTGGCCTTTTGGAAAAATAGATGGCTACTATCATAGGTGGCCTTTTGGAAAAATAGATGGCTACAATCATAGGTGGCCTTTTGGAAAAATAGATGGCTCTGGTAAATGAAATGACCCCCATCTAAACCAGTGCCATTTTTTTTAACCAAACTCACGTACAAAGGACACCTATGGTTCCAATCCAAATCAGTGCAACTCATGCGGGATTCTCAGTCCCCCATGGCGGCTAGACTCGCCACGGGGTCCCCAGCGCTCTTCCAAGGAGCTGTGTGCAGTGGCTCGGGCCTGCGGAAATTCGAGGAAGCCCCCATGTCCAATCCTGCCCTCCAAATGAAGTCGGCTTTTGACACCAAAGTTTTGGGATTTGAAAGGAAAAAGTTTCGAAATCACCGCCCTGTCGGGGTTCCGAACCCTATTTTTGAGACAAGCCCATGATGATGTTTCCGCAGACCGCAGGAAGGTTCGCAGCGCAGGCCCCTGTTCGGCCATTTTGATGGCCCACTCGCATCGTGCGGATATCATGAACATCCTGAATAAGAGACAACCCGCGGATCTATTGCGGGCCCAGGATTGATCGAATATACGTTTAAAAAATAATGAGCGTGGTGAGCTTGTATATGTAAATGCAACAACCACGTCCAGTGAAGCTCGAATGCTCGAGTGCGCTCCGACACCACGCTCATTTTCCAGGAAGCAACAAACGTGATTGCTAGTGAGCCGAGACAGGGTTCTCAGCAAGGAGATTAAGGGGCTGACCCCTACAAACCATCCCTTGTGGCTTCCGTGACAGGGGGATTCCCAGCTTCACTCCCCACACCCGCTCTTGGTCACCTCCCTATCGCAGCAGCAACATAGGTGGCCTTCTGGAAAAATCGATGGCCCTGGTCAGTGGAATAAACCATCTAAACCAGTGGGACCCATCTATGTTCAACCAAACTCACCTGGAAAGGACCCCTCTCGCACCAGCCAGCCGCGGAACCCGACCAAACGGAAACCGCACGCGCCGAAAATGGGGCTGTTTCCCTTGAACCCACCACTTAGGGGGTGACTTTGATCATGGTCAAATTCTGGGGCCAGAAGAACCCGACCAAAACGGGGAAACCGCAGGCGGTCCGGTCCGGCGGTGCAGCGGTTTCCGCGCCTTGAGCTCCTGGCCCAGCTTGGCCTGCCCTGCCCGGTGGCCCTCGTGGTCCTTGGAGTGCCCAGTGAGAAGCTCCTCACGTCCAGTGAGCCGTAAGGAATTCGTGAGCCAAAAGCGCGGCGGTTTTTGGGCCCTGGTTTTTTGGTTGGGTGTGTGTGTGTGTGTGTGCGTGTGTGTGTGTGTGTGCCTTTTTTGGGAAAATCTTCTTTGGCCAGTGTGAAGGGGAAGCCAAAAAGGAGACCAAGCAAAACAAATTGGGGAGGTGGTACAATGAGTAGTTGTGAATGTCACCCTTGGTTCTCTTGCTGGCTCTGAGAACCCACCAGTTGCTCAACCCGTCTGATTGCTGTACTGGTTGGTTCTGAGGTCTGGAAATCTTTTGAGGGGGTCTCGGAATCAATCTTTTGATGGTTGCCAGGGCTGAGAACCAGGCCAAGGGGGGCCAATCCCCAAACCTTCCCCAAAAGCATCCCCCAAAAGGATGGGGTTCTTTTTATTTCCTGGGCCAGCGCATTCACCCCCCCACCCACAAAAAGCGAACACTTCTTGCCGGAAAGGGGAAATGGAAAGTCTGGCAGGGAATGCTCTTCCAGTGAATGCAACTCCAATTTATATCCCTTCTCTTGCAGTGAAGATGACTTAGCAACCTGAGCCAGAGATTTTGCCTCACATAGGATCTCACATTGGATAAGTGGAAGTATAGTCTAGTATCGCCGCTGGCTCCAGGTGTTTAAGGTAGATCCTCTCATGTCCCAATGGTTTGCGGCGAATTCGCTGGATTGCGTCGCACTGCCTGCCTCCAAGTGGTTCAATCGGGTGACCAGCGACGCGTGGTTCCCTGCAGGCAACGTTGACATTGGTTCTCGAAATGGCTATGACAAATGAATTGGGAAGCCCCTCCAAACGAAAGGACATAAACCCAAGTGGGGGATGTTCTCCAAAGTCCCAAAGGTCCACCCCAATCGGTTTCGGCAAGGCGTATTTGAGGGTAAGCGCTCAGGATTCATAGTGACAACTTCACAAGTATCACGATTCCGACGCGCCGGCCAAACCGATTTTTTGCTGTGCCTCGCAACCTTTATGAATTGTAACAACTGGGCCATGCACCACCAACAAAACTTCTTCGCCGCATGGCTTGCTCCATTTGAGATAAAGGTTCCGGAGACTTGCTTTCTGCTACAATGATGCGGGCTACAGCAGCTCTTACCTCCATCTCAGCGTTGATTTGTGCAAGCCGCGTTGGTTTCTCAAGCAATCATGAATTTTGAAGAGGGGCTGTGTGGGCTATGGGGGAGGGGGTCCGTCACATGTTCTTGTTCACCCCTGCAGCAGGCCGGCAGAGAATCAGGGAAAGACCCCAAACTGACCGGGCATCCGAAGGTTCATTCCCAAACCCGGTGTGATTGCCTACTGGGCAACAGCAAGCAAGCTCAAAGGGTTTGGGCTTTGTGTGTTGAATGAGTTCTATCAGATGTGTTCCTTTCGGATGCTACAGGCAGCATGATTGTCCGTTGGCCCCAGGGTGTAGGGGGTAGTTTGACCACATGTATCACCTGACAGCTGCAGACAGATCGCTCCATCTGCCTTCCCTGGCTTCTTTCTCCCTGTCGATGAGGTGCTGGCTCTTGGCCACGTAAGCCTGGAAAAGCCAGGCTTGTCACAATTGAGAGCTGGTACCAAAGGGGGTCTGCCCAAAAATCGAACGAACCAACGCGGCCGTGCCCATTTCTTGGGAAGGTCCCTTAGTAGGCTTCACTGCAGGTGTTTTGGCTCAAAAGACCATGGCAGGCGCAGTCGGCCGGTTCATGCGACTTAGCTCTAGCGACTTTGCGCAACTGGTGATGATTTGCCTGGCCTGCATATCGCATGCGCACGAACAAGGTAAGCTGCCGATTTTGAGATGTCTGACATGCCAATTCCTCACTTTGGCTTGTGGGATGCAAGAGCTGGCCAGGGAGTAAACCCCACAGAGCTCTCCATCCCTACCTGAGTTGGCTAAAATTGAAAAAAAAAGCTTGAACAACTTGTTGGGCTTCATCAAACCTGGCAAGAAGTTTTACCTGAGGTTCCTGTCCATGTTTCCTGAGGAGCCATTCGGGGTGTTCCAAAAGCGACAAATCCCCACTATAACCGGGGACACCCCCATCTTAATACACAGGGGTTAAATACTCTGGGTTCAACATGATTCTAGGCGACACTTCCCCATTCTTTCCAGGGATCCTTCTTTCCAGAAAACCATCCGAACTGCAGGGGAAACAGCGATCGGATTTTGGAAAGAACGATGGTTGAAAAGAATGGACAAGGAATCAACCCCTAGAATGACGGGATTTGACAAATCCCCACTAAACCAGGGACACCCCCATCTTAATACACCGGGGCTGAAACACTCCGAGATCAACATGATAACAGCGATCGGTTCTTGGAAAGCTAGTTGAACAGAATGGAAGAGGCATAGGTGTCCTTTTAGGGGAAATAGATGGCCCTGGTAGATGATTAAACCAACAGGTAAACCAGGGCCATCTACTTTTCCAGCAAAAGAACCAAAAAGGACACCTATGGGAAGAGGAATCAACCCCCAGAATGACGGGATTTCTTGGAGCCGACCGCTCCTCGTGGCTTGTCTGATGATCGCTCAGCTTTCCGTGCAGCTGCTCCAGCTTGAGCTGCTGCGCCGCGGTCTCCTCCGTTGCGAGCCCGGGTGCTTTTGGGGGAACACACTAGTTGCTTGGTTTTAAGGGGAAAACAAAGGCAAAACCACCATCTTGCAGAGTTTCCCAACTTTTGAGACAAACCTTCAGGTTTCAGGTATGGGTTTTGGAGGTATGGAGGCTATAGAGCACTTATTGAAGGTATATACTGCCTTTCAAGCCAATACTGGTGGTATAGACGCATCCCTACCATCAAAACCCATAGCTGAAAACGCACTTGCAACCCGGCTGGACTTTTGGGAAAGGAAGAGCGTGCGTCTGTTTCCATAATATTGCCTTTGCAATCTCCCCGGCGCTCCGCCGCTTGACATCCTCAAAGTCGGCGAACAAAAACTTATCTTGGCCAGTACTCCTTCTTAGCCTTAGAAACAAGAAACCAGCATGGGCATCCAGCATGGGCATCCAGCATGGGCATCCAGCATGGGCATCCCCTCCTCCCATAGAGCCGAGGTTGGATTTGGAAATCCTGAATCTGATACAGGCAGGGCAAACATCGCTGCGTACCCCTCCCCTGACGCATTGCAAGAACCCATGTCCTGAGTATGCTTGTCCGCTGAATCCCCAAGCGCCTGCGGATGCGAAGCCACCGGTCTCTCCATGTTTGCAAGGCACTGACAGGCACTGCAACCAGTGGCAGTGCACAGGGACTCGTCTTTTCGGCCTTCTCCAAGTAGTCCAAGCGCTCCGAAAGCCCAGCGTGCTTCTCCTGCAAGACCTCAAATGTCCAGCTTGGGAGTGAAGCTTGGATGATTCCTTTCTGCCTTTCATTTTCTGCCGCGCGCAAATGGGCATCCACTTGCCTGTTGTCGAAAGTTCGGAACACATGCGAGCCACCGTCCGTACAATCCGACTGGTATGAGTACTACCAGCTCGGATCTTCTGAGCCTGCTGCCTTTACATTCTTGGTGTGCTCCTGGCGAGAAAATTTTCACGCTATCCGCCAACTCACAAGGGCCGGAGCCACGTCTAGTGACTAGTCACAGGCAGCACTCCCAATTCTTTTCCCTGTACTTCACCCCAGGAAACTCACAAAAACAATTTATTCAGTCCCAAGGGTCTCAACAAAACGCCCCCACGTCTTGCCACGGACTGCCTCCTGCCAATCGTATGTCCACGCTTCTCAAAGTGGACACCCTTAGCCAGAAGGAAACCAAACATCTCAGTGTTTTTCATTTGGGGGGGAGGGGTGGGTGGGGGTAGTGACTCCATCCGGATGTCTTTTTCTGGCAAACCCCCTTTTGGTTGGGTTATAAGATAGAAGCGGAAACCAAAAAGAAACAAACCCAGTTTGGAAGGCAGCCTGATTGAAACAGCCCACGTTTTGCAGCAGCAGTTTCCACTCCCCGGCACTCCTCTACGCCCTTGCTATGCTTATCCTGAAGTGAGAGCCATGCGCGGCCAACGCGCGCTGTCGAAAACCCATTTCGAGTGGGTGCGTTTTGTTTTTGGTTTGAGGGTACCCTTTTGGGGGTAGGTTCAAAGGGAAACCCAAGTGAACACATCCTTTTCTGGGTTCTCGTTTGATACGCCATGAACCTTAAGCTGCCTTTGCCGTTCCGTCCCTTGCACCAAAAAAAAAATGTGTGCAGGGACTTTTCGGTGTTCGCCCGCTCTCATTTGGACCCCCCAAATTGGGTGTCCATTGTCCCTTCAAACAAACCCAAACAAACCTCCCAAAAAAGCCAACACACACACACACATACCTGGGCTGTCCTCAGATCCCCCGCTAAAAGATTTAACTTTCAGTGGACTAAATGAGCGGAAAACCCCACTGAAAGGCTAAAAAGCCAAGGAACCGGATGGCTGGGAGCCAATATATATATATATATATACATCAACCTGTCAAAAAGAAGGCACACAAACCGAGGTAGAGGTCTCAATAGCTGAGTCACTGCATTGTCCCCCAGGAGGCCCTCCAAGAACTTCAGCCGCTCCTGGCGAATGGCTTCTCGAATCTGACGAATTGCTTGACCCTTTGGCTGGGACCACGGAGAAAGAAAAACCCGTGAGAACTGTGGTACCCTTTGGTGGAAAGAAAAGGGTACTTGGACCCTTTGGTTTTTGAACAAAAACATGGGGGATGTTGTGTCCACCCATCATCTTTCACGGTGTTGCCAGCAAAAATAATGCCCAAAGTTTGGCTTCCCTCTGCCAAAGGCTCACCGGCAATCGTATGCCTGCTTGGGCAGCCATGCGCTTGCAAGAGGTATTGTCCCACATTCCTTTTGCCCACCCCCAACCGTGTGCTTAGAGGCAAAGGAACACGCTCAGAGCAAGAAAAACGGTGCAACAAAGCACCGCAGGTCGTGGATACCAAAGTTGATATCTTGGCAAGCAAACGGCTTTGAGACCAACCCGGTTTTGGGGCGTGTTTTAAAAAAAGCCAAAGAACACTCCATTCTGGGAATTTGCTTTCTTTCTTCTTTTTTTTTGGGGGGGGGAACTCGGGAACTCGAATCTGACGCCGGCAACGCCGCTCCCGTGCTCCTCCATGGAGGCATGGCGCTCCTCACGGACCTTTTGCCTGAAAACGCCAACCGAAGCCAATCTGGGGGGTCCATCAGAAGACACTCCCGTATGACGTACAGGCCTTAGGCCACCAGCTCGCCGACGGATCAACGGATCAGAGGCAGGTGAAACCCTGTGTGCAGATCATTTGGGCAAAACCTTGAGGATTGATCATGCACAAACCGGCTGCGCTGTTCCCTTTGATTTCCCTCTACCTTAAATCCACCCCAAAAAGCATTCTTGCCAAAAAAAGGCACATCCTAATTCTGTTCTCAAAGTCTCCGCCGGCGTTGCTCTCCGGCGACTTGATCGCGGACATGGCCGTGAAGGGTCTGCACTTTCTCCTGCGCGCCGAAAAGGGGGGCGGGAACCCCCTCAACGGCCGATTTCGTCGACCCGGAAGATGTCGGTGCCAACGACGTGCTCTCAAAGCTATGCAATGTGCCAACCTCAGTTACGCGGTAAAAGAGGCCTTGAGGCCATCGAACGCCGGATGTTTCTGTTTTTGTTTCTTGTCTCTTGCTTCTTTCTCTTTTTTCCCGCCGGGAGAAACCCCATGCAGAAAAAGGTCCCTGAGCGTCAAGCGATTTGCATGCGCTTTTTCTGGCATCTTGCGGCCAGTCCGGTCGCCGGTCCTCTCGCTGGCTTCTCTCCTCCAGCAATTTGCTGTGCCTCAAAGTGAGGCCCCCCCCAAAAAATAAAATAAACTAATAAACAGTAAAAGTAAAGGTAAAAAAGTAAAAAGTAACAAAGTAATAATAGTAATAATAAAAGTAGTATTAATAATAAGAAGAATAATAATAATAATAATGATGATAATAATAATAAAAATAATAATAATAATCATAATAATAATAGCAATAATATTAATAACAAAAAAAATAATAATAACAATAATAATAATCATAATAATAATCATAATAATAATAACAATAACAATAATAACAACAATAATAATAGTACTAATAATTAAAAAATAATAATAATAGTAATAGTAACATTCATGATAACAAATCACACACACACACACAAAACTTTGCCCAAATGGGAAGTTGGGTGGCAAATGTCCACTAGGGCACCTTTGAGCCCTATTGATTGCATCTACGCAGACTCAACTCTCGGCTTCACAAGCCCCCGGGCAGTTGGTCCACCTTGTTGTGCACGTTCCCCAGTTCCTGCCACCGGAGGCATACTTGGCAGCCTCAGATTCGGTCTAAATTGGAACCAGAGCAATGTGCTTTTCGAAAATCGGGCAACAAATATCAAGACGTACTGCTTGCCATTGTCATTCGTCGTTGTTCAGCGCACTGATTGCCGCGGAAAAAAAAGGCGATGGGAAGCGCGCGATCCAAACCGGCCTTGGCGTGCTTCTCGGCGGAGTCCCCCAACTTCCCTTCCAGGAACTCTAAACGCTCCTTCCCAAGGCCCAAATGAGCGCAGGACGTGGGACAGTGAGTGAGTCTGGTGGAAGATGAGTGGTCCCTCGGTTGTTCCTTAACAAAAACCCAACATGAACCATGAACGCCAATTATCGGTTGACAGTTGGCAACCCAAAAAATACAATCACACGCTGCACTGCGGGTCCCTCAAAATGCAGGCCCACGTTCACTCGGACCGATCCTGAAAGGGGCCCACAAGGTTCGGGTCTAAGCCAAAGGAAACCAGTCAGTTTTGGGTCCCTACTTAACTCTCGTCCTGCCAAAAGGAAAGAGCGGAGAACCGACGCCGATTCTGGGGGGCGGGCGTCCATGTGGGTGTGCCAACAAAAAAATGGAAAGCCACAAGGTCCTGGAAGACTATGTTCATTTGAAAGGGACCCGGAAGCCACGTGTCGTGGGTGTGCCATGGAAGAAGGGCCATGGCTCCTGCATGCCGAGGTGATGGCCCTGGAGCTTGGCGCTGCTGGCTTCCAAGTCTTTTGCGTGCTTGGCCTTCCACAACGTCAGCGGTTGGGTGGTTGGGTGGCTGGAGGGTTGGGTGATGCGGGTGAATGGTTTCGAAATCGGGTGGTTCGGTGGTTCGGTGACGTGGGCGGTTGGGCGGCGGTTGGGCGGTTGGGCGGTTGGGCGGTTGGGCGGTTGGGCGGTTGGGCGGTTGGGCGGTTGGGCGGTTGGGCGGTTGGGCGGTTGGGCGGTTGGGCGGTTGGGCGGTTGGGCGGTTGGGCGGTTGGGCGGTTGGGCGGTTGGGCGGTTGGGCGGTTGGGCGATGTGGGTGGTTGGGTGGCTCGGTTTGGATGATTCGATGGTTAGGTAGTGACTTTAGTGCGGTGGTTTGCTGGCTAGATGGTTTGGTGGTTGGGTGGTTCATGGCTGGGTGGTCGGGTGGTTGGGTGGTTGGGTGGTTTGGTGACTAATTAAGCTAAGCCCACCCTAAACCAGCCCTCAACCAACCCTTTCCCTAAACCAACCAACAACGCGAAACCCACCCTGAACCGAACTGGGGATTGGGATTCACGAAGCCGGAAAACGGAGCGATTCCAGTTCGGGTAGGGTGAACAACTGGCAGAAGAGACTAGCCCCAAACCTCGGTCATGAGCCCATAGGAACAAAAGGAAGCCCCAAGCAGAAGGGGCTGATTCAGGAACCTGCGAATTGCAAATAGCTGTTTGAAGGGGCATGAAGGCCTCACCCATGGCTTCCGAGCACATGCCGGAAAGTGAATCAAAATGTGTTCTTTGCACAAGACCGAGGATACGCCAAGGCTTTGGTCCGCTTGCGAAGCGAGGCTTCGGAAGACAGCAAGAGACACACCCGTTGCCTATGTCTCGACAGCAAGGTCTGAAACGAGCCCAGTGTGGCAAGAAACTCCATGAGAGCCATCGATGTGTCCAACAGGGAGACCCAAAAAATGTATTTGGGTTCCCTTCTCAGATGCCCAGTGGCAATTGGAGAAAAAAGCCGCATCCTTTCTGTTGGTTGACTTCAACCCTTCCCAAAAAATACGAAGGAAACAAATGGGAAAAAAAGGGACCACTAAGCCACTGGGCCTTTGACCGCGTGGTGAAAAGGGTGGTCCAGAGAGGCCCAGCCTTGACTTTCTCAAGCTCCTGGCCCAGAGGCAAGCGATGGAATACCCCTCCCATCAAAAGCCCGGCCCCCGCGGGGCCAGTCGCCACGTGGCCGGTTTTGGTTGATACAAAATCTATTGAATAACGCAAGACATGGGAACATGCTGGGAAAAGCACGCACAAAAATCCACGTTTGCAGGCAAAAGTGGATCCGAAGCTTTCCACGCCATGGAAAACCAGAAGGAACACCTTTTGACACACACACCCACACACACACACACACACCACACACACACACACACACACACACACACACACACACACCCACCCACCCACCCACCCGCGCACGCACGCACGCACTCAAGATAGCCTTCCCCCGGCTCCTGCGCATGCTTCTCTCCGCTCTCCCCAAGCAGCTTCTCCAAGTAATCCACGCGCTCGCCCAAACTGGAGAAGGAGCACCAAGCCGCCCAGCCGTCGAGCTTGCGGTTTCTCCAAATAGGGGACCAAGTGACTGGGGAGAAATTGGTTTCCAAGTGTCTTCCCTTTAGTACCATAGAAAAGGGGACCCCGTGGCGTCGTCCCTGGAAACCCACCCAACAAGGGGTGCTTGAGAAAACCCCCTGGTTCCAAACAAAAGGAAATCCAACATACGTCCAAATCCAAGGCCTTTGGGCCGTAGGTAAACATCAAGTCACATTTTCGGGGTGTGTGTTTTGTGCGTAGTTTGTTTCTGCGATACGAACATCTTGCCTGCCATTAGAACTTGCGATGGGGGCACAGACTGTTGGTTTGTTTGCCTGTTCGAGCCTGCCTGCTGCTGCCTGCCTGCATGCTGCCTGCCTGCTTGCTTTGCGAGGCTCACACAAGGTGTCTTTTGTTGCCCGCGCAAAGAGCTGCAAAACGTCCCACATCAAAATAAAGCAGTTTACCTATGCGAGCGCGAACAAACTACTTCAACAAAGGTCTCCAAGCGCAAGTCAGACAAGGCCCTCCCCAAGACCCCTTTCCGATGTTTGTAAGAAGGCTCAGGCGGTATTCCAACGGCAATCAGTGGAAACTTGGGGAACTCTAGCCTGCAGCTCCGAACTCAGCCTCTCAGCCTCACAGCCTCACAGCCTCTCAGCCTCCCACTCACTCACCCACCCACGCACGTACTAACTCACTTCACTCACCTCGCTCACCTTACTCCCCTCACTCACCTCACTCCCCTCACTCACCTCACCCACCTCACTCCCCTCACTCGCCTACTCGCTTCTCACTCGCCTCACTCGCCTCACTCGCCTCACTCGCCTCACTCGCCTCACTCGCCTCACTCGCCTCACTCGCCTCACTCGCCTCACTCGCCTCCCCACTTCGCAACTCGCTCACCTCACTCACCGCTCACTTCGCTCACCTCGCTCACCTCACTCCCTTCCTCCCTCCCTCACTCCGTCACTCCCTCACTCACTCCCTCCCTCCCTCCCTCACTGACTGCCTGCCTGCCTGCCTGACTGACTGACTGACTGGCTCTTGCACTCACACTCTCTCACACACACTCTCTCGCTCACACACACACACCATCGCATGAATTCCAAGATCGGCTGCCCACTATGGCAGTTCTCCATTGGCGTCACAGACTTCCAGAGGCAACCAGAACTGCGCTCGCTTCCGACCGTCCAGGCCCCGGCGACATGTGCCGCGCTTGCAGATCTTCCTTCTCCCTAGGCATCGACTGCTCCGACCCCAAGGTCAATAGTTCAAACGGGGTTGATTTCCCCCTTGCAGGGGGCTTTTCTGGGTTCAAGCTCCTAAGCACTAGTCACCCTTCCCTTCGTTCCATCCCTGCCATCACACTTGTGTATGGTGTTTAGACCTCGGGGAGAAAAACATGACGCTTGGCGTTTGCAAGAATTCACACAGCAAACATTGAGTAGTGTGGAAAGTGTGCTCTCTACATGCTCGAAAGTTCGGCACATCCCGCAACAAACAATGCCGAAATGGAGAACCAAACAAATCGCGCGTTTCCCTCCAGTGCCCCTCTAAACCAAGAATAGCCAGGTGTTGTGTAAAGAAAACAATAAAAAGAAAAGTTACGTGTCTTCAACAAAACAGAACCATCCCCCCTTCCCCCTTTTTTTCAAACCGGCCACTTGGTGGCCGTTTTGTTTGGGGTTCCCCTACCATTTCCAGCGAGCGATCAGAGCGCTCCCTCTGCCGCAGCTGGCCCCGGCCTCTGGAGCTGGCCCAAGCGCTCCGTGACCACTCCGTGGCTCTGCTCCTTGCCCTTGCTGTCCGAGGCGATCTTCTGGTGGGCCTCAGCCGGTGATTTTTTGGGGGGGGGTCGGGCCGGGTCTCCGGGTCTCCGGGTCTCCGGGTCCCGGAAATGTCGGGGGTTCCGTAGCTTGAGTTGAGGTCCGGGGGGAGGGGGTCGGAAGAAAATTTAGGGGGGAGGACAAATTCCACCCCGGCACTCTTGGTTGGCCACGCCATGCCACGCCCTCTAAGCATTTCGGCACACTGCGCAAGGCCCAGCCCCAGGACACAAGATGAACGCCACGTGGCCATGGGTTAAAATCGAAATTGTACCCCCAGTGAACATCCGATTCAATCCAACCACTAAAATAGGAAGCCTAAAATGGGTGCTGAATGCAGCTACCAAAATGGGCTCCGATCCAAAACGGTTTTGACGACCACAGCCGCGTTTCTCCTCGGCTGAGGCGCCAGGCCGCCTTCAAGGCCTCTAAGTCCCGGCTGTGCTTCTCCGAGGAGTCGCCCAAAGCCTCCGGTCCGCCGGTTCCTTTGCGCGGTCTCCTGTTGAGGTCGTCTCCTTTTCTGGAGGTCCCTCCCTTTGAGGTCGTCTCCTTTTCCAGAAAAGCTCCTTTTTGAGGTAGTCGGTACTTGGTTGGTGAAGAAAGGGAAACCTTGCTTGGTGAGAGAAAGGGGCAAATGTTCAGGTGTCTGGCTTGGAGCTCATGCAAAACTATACCAATATAAGCTGGTGCTCCGGCAGTATACCCCTTACATAATCTCCCAGACCTCAAGCTTTCCTGTTGGACATCACCGGGTTTAAGATCTTAGGGTGGTCCAAAAATGGCGGGACCCTGCAGAACCTTACGCCTTGGGTTGCATTTCGGGGAATCGGGCCCCGAATCTTCATAGGGAAAATGGCCAACTGTCAAACCGAGGCTGAATGAGATCAATCCTGACCCCCACCTTCAAATGGAAGGGGCATCCAACTTGGATGGATTGCCCTGAGTATCGCTTACATAACCAATAGTACTAATTGTGAGTAACAACTCGCACCTGGCTTGCCCCGATTGTGGATGTCCCACCCATTTCCTGATTGAAATCTCTGTATGGCTACTGTATCTCTTGGTAGGCTGTCTGATTGCTCGCAAAGCCACTACGCCCTTGGGGCAAGTGGGATATACAACCGCTACAGAGCTGCTATATAAAGGGTACATACCCCGTTTTACCTCGGGGTAGTGGTCTGGGCGAGAACAGCTGTTTGGTCGGAAATAGCTATGCTTTGTGGAAAGCTCTGAGTCAATGAGAACCTTCAAGAACATACTATCAATCTATGAAACAAACTTACGCGTAATCACAGAGACTCGAACACATCTCGTCTCAAACAACCCGCGCCTTTTCGAGATAGTCAATGCGCTCCGTCAAAGTTGAATGATGCCTCAACTCCAGAGGTGGTGGCGGAAGGACAAGCCCATTCTAGCGCCAGAGTCTCCCCTAAACCAGAAAATACCCAGCTTCAATGCATCCAAAGTTCATGATTATGTTTTTCGTGGCGGAACTCAAGGATCAACACTGCCATCCATGTTGCCAGCGGTGTTTCCTGGAGAAAAGGCGAGACTCAAATCAAAAGCCGCTAGGTGCAAGGCATCAAAGGCGCGGGCACGGAAGATTGAAATGGCCATGGGTCCAAATCCAAATCGTGCCCCCAGTGAATATCCCAATCCAACCATTAAAATAGATTCTATAATGGGTGGTGAATGCATCTATTAACCAAAATGGGCTCCCAAAACGGTTTTGACGGTGCGTCGATGCCCCAAGTGCCGGGCTTTTCCAGCGCCATCTTGTCACCTCGCACGAGCTCTGGGCTGAGCTCTACCGAAGTTCCCACCCGATTAACCTGGAACCTGTGACCTTTGCGGGACCCTCTCAAAGGAAACAAGTGGTCTTCCAGGAACCCCCGAACACGAGAAGCCTGTGGCAGTTGGTGGGAGAGTAGCACCCCGACTCCAAATTCCCGCTTTCAAAGCACCTTTTGGGGAAACCTCGTGGTCCATGATATATCCCTCCTACAAAGGTTGACAAAGTAGTGGGGTACGAGAGCTCAGTGGCTCAGGAACGCGTGATGCGACGGAACGCTTGATGCAAACATTGCCACATCTGGGTATAGCTTGAGGCTCGGACTCATCCACCCCGTGGACTAAAAGGGGCAGGACCCTTCTTCCTCACCCACCAACCGCTTCACTCATCGGCAGGTCAAGAAAATCCCGGGTTCCGGTTAACAAAGTCAGGGTGTGTGTTTTTGCCGCACAATGAACCAACGGTTGAGCAAAGGAACCGTTCCAATCTAAGGAGCACCCACCGCAGCCACGACTTGGCGCCCGGACTGGCCATGCTGTTGTGCGCCTTCCTCAGGCTCTCCAGAGAGGCGCCGTGCGCCTGGCCAATGGTCCAGCATCGATGTCATGGGGGGCGGGGGGGCCAGGGGGGGCGGGGGGGCGGGAGGGAGGGAGGGAGCCTCAAACAAGGCCGTATTAAGGGCTCAAACTGCTTATTTGGGCTCCCTCCCCCTCCCCTCCCTCCCCCCAGCCCCCATGATGATGTCCACGTCAGGCTCCAGAGAACCAATGCCCGGCCCATAACGAACTTGCAGGGCACGTGGGGCGAAACGTGGGAGGGATCTCCTTTGAAAAAAGAAGAACGAGGGATGGGCGAAACGTGGGAGGGGATCCCCTTGAAACAAAGCAAAAGAAGACACGGGTAGGGAAAAGGCGGGCAAGAGACATCCGAATCCCTGCTGGAGGGATTCCCCCACATCCCTGCGAATTGGCTCTTACAAAAAGCAGGAGGTGCGCCCGCCTCCCTGGCTACACGCTCTTCAGAGACTCGCGCGTGCCTGGGCCCAGTCAGACTTGAGTATAGCAATCTGGCAACTTTCCTGCACCGGGGATCAAAGGGGTTACCAGGGTACAAGTGGCTGCGGGAGACTGCTGTCTCCGACTTCAGCAAGTGACCCTAAAGGGTTCCAAGAAATGGGTTCTAGGATTGACACAAGTGATTGTCCTTGTGCAAGCTGGACCTCTGTGAGAACCCGTAGGTCCCCTGAAAATGTGCTTGCGCATCCCAACAAATGTCGAGCAGATCTCTAAGCCAAATGCTTAGCAAACCAAGTCCTACAGCATACACCATCAAAAGCAAGGCTAAGGCATGCTGGCATTCGGGTAACATTGGCAATTCCCCTCACACACTCATCCATTCCCCAGCACATCGTTGAAGAGCTGAGATGAATAGAGTGCGGAGTGACGCAGCTGTCCGCTCCACAGATTGAGCTGCGCGCACTGCATCGACTTTTGCAACCGCAGCAGCCAGCTCCTTGACCATCAGAGCATTCTTTCATGGCCCTCTTTCCCAACGATGGACAAGCAAATGCGCATGTTCCGAATTCAAATATTTGGCTGCACTTGTCTCAAAGACAGGCGTGCTCCGCAAATGATGGCTGTTGCGCCCAAACTGTCATTATAAGATGAGTGGCAAAATCATAGCCAGGTGTCTTCGAATGCGTTTCTGCGTTTCCTGCCCAAGTGGAAAATGCTTTCGTGTTGGCCAGCAATTGCTCCACAGGGAAAAAGACATATGCCAGCGAAAACCACAAAAAGCAAGAACTGCATTGGCGTGTCAGAACAGCAGGTGCTTGACAATTTGCTAAACAAGACAAACAAACACACATATGTAAAAAAAAAAAAAAAACTCTCAGCATCATCTTCTACCCTTCGCAACAGCACCCCACAACAGCACCCTGCACTGCAACAGCACCCAAACCACTCTTGCTGACACCCTCCACCACTCTGTGCCGCGCCCTTCTGAAGCACGCCATAAACGCACCCTGTGCGCAACTCTCCGTCTCATCAGCCGCCCAGATTCCAAACCTGCGCCTTGGTGGAAATCCCTTTCTGGACATGGGCAATTGTGTTCGTACCCAAAATGCGGGACAATTCGTGAGTTACCCATGTCCCTCCATGCACCTCTGAAACTTTGACACCTCCGCCTTCAACAGCACCCTTTGAGCCCCTTAGAACCCTTCACGGGCAATGGCAGCCCCCCCACCCTGCCCAAACATCTCTGTCACACTCGCCAAGTTAGACCAGAACGCTTTCAGCCGCGGAAAACGTTGATGAACCCGCAATCAATAACCTGACCTCCAGGAAGAGAGGAATCCCACCAAAAGCTGATGGATAAAACCACCGTTCTTGCACCTTTCGCCAAAAAAAAACCTCAACAAAACACCTTCCCTCAAGGGGAGCCCGTGGCTTCTCCAAAACACCCTCAACAAAACACCCCCTCCAAAAAGAAACAAAAACATGGCTTCCCTTCAGGCGAGCCCATGGCTTCTCCTGGCTGTGCTTGTCAAAGGAGTCCCCCATGCGCTGCTCGATGTAGGTCATGCGATCCGTCATCGTGGCATGGCTCGCCTTCGAGATGTTCCGCTTGGGTGTGTCTTTCTTTTGGCTGCGGTGGCTGTGGGTCAAAAATAGGTACCCAAAATGGCACCCTGGTAAATGGAAACAATGACTAAAACCTGTGGTCGTGATTGAATTTTGACCCATACCCTGGTGGTCCAAACTAGGGTAACCCAAAATGGGCTGCCCTGGGAAATGGAGTCATGGACTAAAACCTGTCCCTTGGTGGTTGAATTTTGACCCATAGCCTTTTGAGGGAACCCCCTCGGTTGTGCGACCGCAACAAAAAAAGACACAATTGTGCAAATTCCCCAAAGGGCACACTGAGTTGGAAAGTCATGGTCCGCTTGCCACGGACTCTGATTGAGGGGTCCTGACTATGTTCCTTTAGAAGGGACCCTCTGGTGGGTTCTATGCTAGTGCAACTCAAGGGATGGTTTATTGCACAAGATTGCCTTTGAGGCCGAATTTGGATCAGTTTCAAGATGGGGAAGCCCCCGTTTCGGCTGGCTTTCAAAGGGGTCAAAAGGGAACTGACCTCCTGCAGGGGTCATATGGACCGGTTTGTGGCTTACTGGAGAAGGTGGTTGCACAATAGACCCCAAGTGTGCACAGTATGCAAAGCTTCACCCCTTTGATCGATATCCCATCGATGCTTACGACTGGATATCCAGAACCGGTCTAGGGCACGCTGCCAGTGCCCCGTCATTGCTCGAGCTTTGCTAAGCTGTTTCTGATCTCAACTCCTTTGATCTCTCTTGTGCCAAGAAGACAGGCTCGAGCAATTCCAGCCCCCACCCTGGTTGTTCAAAATGAGGGGCCATCCCAATCGTAGTTGGAAGCTATATGCTACTAAGGAAACCACCTGGCCATCCGGCAGAAGGGGTTGCCTTTGTTTGAGGGCACCCATTGTTTGGTGGGTTCAAAGGCAAACCAAAAAGAACATCAATCTTGGGAGCTCCCCCTAAACAAGCGAGACCCTCCAGGCGGCTTCTTTTTGGCTTTCCTGTTGAACCACCCGAAACACGAAACGGGGCCCCCAGAAGCCGTCCCGTGTGAAAACAGGCTCCGGCCTCGCGGGCGCGCAAGTCGTTGGCCAGTTTCGTGTGGCTCGCCTTTTGCTCCTCCAAGACCTGCGGGGGATACCGGGAAACAAACCCATTTCGTACGATATACGTGCTCTACATAGACATATATATATATATAAATGGTCACCCCCCCCTGCATGACCTACCGTTGTCTTTCAAAAAGTCGTTGGCGACCATTAGCAGACAATAAAAAAGTGAAAAACACACCTGTTCTTTTTTTTTTAATGGTGTTCGATTAAAAAACAACACAGTCAACCATTGAAAAATTAAGAAAAACCAGTGTGTTTTGATGGTTTTAGCAAAAACTGTGCAAAAAACTATGGTTTTTGTTAGAAAAACAGGAAAGCATTCAAAAAAACAAGTGTAAAAACTGATATGTTTTTCAGATATATCCCTAAGTCAAAAACTAAGAATTCCCTGGGTTTTTGATGGTTTTGCAGTAAAACCTTCAGAATTCCTTGGGTTTTTAGCATTTTTCACATAAAACCAAGAAAACCTCGAGAAAACTAAGAATCCAAGAATCCAAGATTTTCAGGTAGATGCTTGGTCCACTACAAAATCTTGGATTCTTGGTTTTCTCGAGGTTTTCTTGGTTTTCTTGGTTTTACTTCGGAATTCTTGGATTTCCAGCAAACAACCAAGAATTACTAGGGTTTTTTGGATGTCCAGCAAAAAACCAAGAAAACCTTGAGAAAACCAAGAATCCAAGAATCCAAGATTTTCAGGTAGATGTTTGGTCCACTACAAAATCTTGGATTCTTGGTTTTCTCGAGGTTTTCTTGGTTTTCCTGGTTTTACTTGGGAATTCTTGGGTTTCCAGCAAAAAACCAAGAATTACTAGGGTTTTTTTGGATTTCCAGCAAAAAACCAAGATTTACTAGGGTTTGTTTGGATTTCCAGCAAAAAACCAAGAATTACTAGGGTTTTTTTGGATTTCCAGCAAAAAACCAAGATTTACTAGGGTTTTCTTGGATTTCCAGCAAAAAACCAAGAATTCCCAAGTAAAACAAGGAAAACCAAGAAAACCTCGAGAAAAACAAGAATCCAAGATTTTGTCGTGGGCCAGACATCTACATGAAAATCTTGGATTCTTGGATTCTTGGTTTTCTCGAGGTTTTCTTGGTTTTCTTGATTTTACTTGGGAATTCTTGGATTTCCAGCAAAAAACCAAGAATTACTAGAGTTTTTTGGATTTCCAGCAAAAACACAAGATTTACTAGGTGTTTTTTTCTCCAGCAAAAACCCAAGAATTCCCAAGTAAAACAAGGAAAACCAAGAAAACCTCGAGAAAACCAAGAATCCAAGATTTTGTCGTGGGCCAGACATCTAAAACAACAGAAATACCAGCACCAACTGAAGACGAAGAAGAAGAACCACAAAAATATAATTTTGAAAAATTAAAATCTTAATAATATCATATATAATGGGTATTGGTAAAAGTAAAAATAATGAAAATAATAGTTTGGAAGACATTAAGAATTTAAGTATAGATGAAAAAACACGAGCAGACACTTTAATTATTAAATCTCTTCAAGAATGTGTGACACGAATTGAGAAACTAGAGAAAGAAAAATCTGACAAATTAATATATAAACTTCCTGCCTTACAATTTTGCAATGCTTCGTTAATTTAAATTAATAATATTAACATATAATAATATTATTAATTGCTATCATAATCTGTCATTTTATCCTCTGGTATTGTTGTTGAAGTAGTACTACTTATATCATCTATTAAATCTTCTTCATCAACAAAATTATATTGAAATCTTAATAATTCCTCGTCTGGTGCCCTTCTTTTCAATACTATATAAAGTTTATGTATCCAAGAATTAGTATGAAAATTACAATTACCTCTACGATAAAATCCACCACATCTACATAGTTTCATTGGCATATTACTATATTATATTAAATTAGAATATCTTTATTCATCATTCGTAATTTGAAATGGCTGTTCAAATCTGATATGAAACATTTTGTTAATGTCTTTAGCATTCATATTCACGTAGAAGAAACTATAAGGTGCGTCATTAACGGCTTGATGATACATATCTAATAATTGCTGTTTATCAACAATGGCGCTATTTTCTTCAATAAAACTCATTAACTCACTTGCATTTTCAACCTAATGAACTGGCATTTAAACGAATGATAGGCACTAAAACATTATATTTTTGTGTTGAACAAATTACGCTTACTGCATCGTGCCTGCCTCTTGTAAAAAGTCCGTGTAATAATTTACTATATCTAACAAATTTAGGATCGTCTGCGTGGTCATCTACAACGATTAATATTGAATGCGTGGTCATCTATAACGATTAATATTGAATGTAGTGTCTTTATCTTTTTAGACTTCATATAATTAATTATTTTCTTCTGTCTTTCAATTACATTTTCTAAATCACTTGGATTATAATTATCAAAATAAATTTGTTCTTTTTCATCATCCACGTGCAATTCATCCCTGATGTATGTTTTAACTTCTGTAAAAGTTGGGTCATTATGAACGCTGGGGGAAAATATAAATATTCTTGCAAATGAATGTCTATAAACATTCAAGATAAGGTTTTGGACTAAAACTGTTTTGCCTCCCGTCGATGAAGCAACTATAATACGTCTAAATGGTAATTTTAGCACGTGCTCATATTTGGATTGTTTGAATTCATATTCAGTTATGTTTATTGGTTTTATTATTGGGACATCTGTCATAGTTGATATTAAAGAAATATAGAAAATTATATTTAAAAATTAACTTGTCATTAATATTAAATGGAACATCATTATGTTATGAGTGGCGGTGAATAACATAATGGAACAGGTTTTCCATTGCTTCAATCAATAAGCATTGAAGATAATTAGTTTTGTGTTTTGCTCGCGTGTGCAATGAAAACCAAGTGCTGTGCCCCACCAATAGCGATGAAGGGAGGGGCAAATGATAGATGAGATCCTGCTTTTTGTTAGCTAAAAAGGTAGGTCATGCAGGGGGGGGTGAGCATATAAATACATATGCATGTCTATCTGTATACATATATACATATATAGTTGTATTTATGTGTAGTTGTGTATATATATGTATGGAATGTATGCATACATATTGGTATACATGTGTATATATATATACAGGGGTCTTGTTGGAGTGAATACCCCTTATTTGTGCTTTTGAATGAAAACCAAAAGGAACACCACAATTTTGGGGTGCCTGCAAAACGAGACATGGAGAGAAAGAGAGAGAGAGAGAGAGCGAAAGAGAGAGGGAGAGAGAAGGAAGGAAGGAAGGAAGGAAGGAAGGAAGGAAGGAAGGAAGGAAGGAAAGCAAGAAAGCAAGAAAGTAAGAAAGAAAGCAAGAAAGAAAAAAGAAAGAACAAAAATGAGAGAAAGAAAGAAACGAAACGAAACAAAACTAAACGAGAGATGGCGAGAGCGAGAGCGAGAGCGAGAGCGAGAGCGAGAGCGAGAGCGAGAGAGAGAGAGAGAGAGAGAGAGAGAGCGAGAGAGAGCGAGAGAGAGAGAGAGAGAGAGAGAGAGAGAGAGAGAGAGAGAGAGAGAGAGAGAGAGAGAGAGAGAGAGAGAGAGAGAGAGAGAGAGAGAGAGAGAGAGAGAGAGTGAGAGAGAGAGAGAGAGGGGTCTCTGTGCCTGAGTGTGCTCGTTTGCGGCCGGACGCCAAGCCGATTTCTTTTTCTTCTGCCCGCGGAAGGGGGGCGGGGGTGGGGGAAGAGGGCCTCTCCGCCCAGCCAGGCCGAAAGTTCAATGTCCATCTGGCAAAATGGACATGAGTCAAAATCAAACCATCAGGGGACCGCGTTGCTTCCATTTACTGTACCAGGGCAACCCATTTGGGGCTTACCCTTTGTTTTACCCACACCCAAATGGACATGGCAGCCACGGGGTGTCTCGGTCTTCTTTTGAGAAGGTGCCCAGATTGGAATGCATACAACGGAGAAGGCCTATGGATGCAAGGCCGGAAGTCTGCTGATGCCAGAAGCAGTAGCAGGAGATTGAGGAGAACGTGTCTTTTTTGTGCGTGGCTCAGGACAGGAGCAGGAGCCGCAATAAGTAAAAAGGTCCGTCAATAATTGGTGCCAAGCGCAAAAAACCAAAGAAGAGCTGACTTGAACCAGTGGGCTTCGTCATTGCCAGTCATGTTGAGGTAGCAGATTGGACTGCTCATTGACATGGGTATGTGCCAAAATCCCCAAAACCTTGGTTTCCTGTTGGTTTAGGGTGCCCTCAAAAAAATACACCCACCTGAAAGTCCTGTTCATTGGCGGCCGATGATAAGCCATCCGCCTAACTGCGCCGACCAACCTTACGAGCCAAGGAGAAGCATGCCCCGATCGCGTCACATCGCTTGGAGGCCCTAGCGCATTGAAGAATGTGGGGGCGTTTGGCTGTGATTTGGCCATGGGTCAACCCAGTGAACATCCCAATCCACACTAAAATAGACAAAAATAGGTGGTGCACCTACCCCGCAACGGTACCATTGGTTTTGACCCACAGCCATTTGCGTGCACATTCATTGAGGAAGGCAATCGAGGGCAGATGTACGAGCGCGCTCGTTGAAGCCAAGCGACTGGTGGGCTGCGAACGGTGCGCATTGTGGTTGCTAGAAAACGTGTTAGTTGGTAAGAAATGAAGACACCTGGACGCACATGTTGCTTGCTTCAAGTGAACGGATCCCAGCACTCCCTGGCATTGAGCGCGGATGTGGTCACTGGTAGCATTGGTATGGGAACCAAAGGGCAAGGAACGAGCCTTTTGCGATCGGAAGCGGTTGGAGTGATCGGCCTTTTTTTTGGACCCATCGCAATTCGAATCTCTCCCGCAAACCCCACCTTCTTGTGATGGTCCGCTGAGTCACCCATCATGCTCTCCAGGTAGTCAACGCGCTCCTGGCAGAAATGCAGTGACCTGTCAGCGACGACTGTGTGTCAAATGGAGGGAACTCCGAGGATTGTGGATTCCTAGTGGTTGTCCTATTGGCTTTTCCTTTTGGTTCCTTATCAACAAACCAACAACAAAAAACACACACACACACACACCCTACAAGCAATACAAGACCGATGTGCAAAGGAGCAAGTATATCCAAGCACTTCATCCCGTGAGATTGCCTTGCCTTCAGGTTGGAGTGATGCTGGTCCAGGCTGGACTTGTCGTTGCTCAGATTCGCATGGGCAGTCTTCAAGTCGTCCAGAGCGGAGCCTCAGATCAACGCCATCGACCACACGGTGGACCCTTTTTGGTTGGCATTTCATGGGGACACCAAAAGGCAACCAACCACTGGAGGGAAGCAAAACTTGTTGAGCACCGCCCACGTCACAAAACATCCCCCCGAAACGGCAAAAAAAACACGGACCTTGCCCGCGTTGTCGGGCGCTTCGGCAACTTAGGCCCTGGCTGTGCTTCTCACTGTGGTGCTTCAACTCATCCACCATGGCCTGGCCGCGGCTGGGCGGCTTTCCGCAGCCACCAGACTAAGCACACACCACATCCCCACATGGCACCTGACAGATTTGATCCGGAAATTGTTTCAGATGTCCTTCAGCAGTGCAATGTTAGTCCATGTGGCAGTGGGTCAAAGATTGGCGTCCAGGATGGAACCCTGGTATGGATGGAAACATGGACAAAAACCTGCGGTCTCCCGGTGGAACAAAAATGACCCATGCCCACGTTGCAGCGCTGATCACTCTTTAGCCAAATAAAACATGTCACTAGTCTGTCCAAGCGGCCGTCGGACCCGACGCAACTGAGCCAGCTGGACTCCCTTCACCTGGCGAGCAAGGTGGACCAAGGCAGTGTTGAGGCAGCAGTCAGGATTTGATGGACCCACGTCATGGTCATGCCTCCATAGGATGGGAAACATGGGTCTAAAACCCCGAGTTTTTCCGCCCTTCCCAACCCCCAACTTGGTTGGGCTCGGGTCTTCTAACCATGGATGAAGATCCACAGGCCGTACCGGCTGCGCCTCTTTTCAGACAAGAGTACTCGTTTCTCCAAGGAGTGGGGAGTGGGATCCTGGCTTTTTGTAGAAGACTTGGGTGTCCCCCCCCCCCATGTCCTTCCAAAAGAACTACGAATAGACCACCAGTAGCTCAACACATGGCTTTCGGCTCCTGCGGATGGACGGACGGACGGACATGGATGGATGGATGGATGGATGGAGGGACGGACGGACAGACGGACGGACGGATGGATGGATGGACAGAAAAGAAATTCACAGAGAAGTTTGCGAGAACTATAGTTCAACACAAAACCAAAAGTCATTTGAGCGAAGCGATTCCTATTGTGACAAACACGAAAAGGCGGATACGTGCCATCAAGTGTCCTGCGCGCCGCCCAGACCACCTGTTTTGGTTTGGACCAAATAGAAAGCCAGGAATCTGGGCCTCATGGTGAGACCTCCCTAACCGGCCTACTCTGACACATGGGTGTATCTTTTTTAGGGCACCCCCAAAATATGGCTTCAGTGTCCCTTTGCTTTCCCTTCAAACCACCCCCAAAAAGGGGTTACGCTTCCCCTTTAAAAGGGCTGCGCCACTACCCTCCGGCTGGCCGCCTCCATTTGGGACATCCGGCCGTGGAGCGTCTCGAGCTTGCTGTGGGCATGGCTCAGCTCCTAGGAAAAGTTTATGTTATTTGTTTCATTCTTGAAAACAAAAAAAGTGTACTAAAAAAGCTACAACAAGTTGAATAAGTGTTTAACAAAAAAGTTACCAAAAGATACGAACGGTATGTGTTGTTGTTAGAAATACGTTTTAAAATTGATTGTAGTTGCCCCAGTCTTGGAGCGAGAGAAGTGCTGCAGATCCGCAAAATCCAACTCTCTATTTCAAGCGACCGCGCCCCATTACATCGCGCTCATGCGATGATGCCAGGGAAAGGAGCAGCAAAAAGAAACATTCTGGCTTCAGGTTAGTTTCGAGGTGAAGGGAAGCGGTTTCATAGGAATCCTGAGTTTGTACACGTTGAAGCGCACTAGCCGCTAGTAGCCCCTAGGTGAGTTCTAAATTGCCCTGAAATCAAAGACAGCGTTGCAGGAAGAATCTTCGCAAAGGGTGCTTCGAACTTCGGATCCACAGGCATGCGCGAAGGAAATTGCACAGCTCCCTAGTGTCAGTACCCTTTTGGCGGGAGACACGTTTTGGTAGAAAGACCTTGTGGAATGGGTATGAATTTAAGCTTGGGTGGCCCCTTTGGTGGACATGGGGGGTCATGGCCGCAAAAGAACTCATGGTATTCCCCATTCAGATTGTCCTACACGTATCGCGCGAGACGAGCCGTGGCTCCTCCTGGTGCTTGGCTGCTGAGTCGCCCAGCGCCTGTTCCAAGTACTGCAGCCGGTTCGCAAAGGTGACCTGCGCTGAGAAAACAGAGTGTCTTCTTTGAGGGCACCAGGTGTTGTGGGGTGCTTATACATATATATATATATATATATATTAAAAGATGAAAAACAACTCACCAAGTGAATATGGGTATGTCGTTCTTGGAGGGTCCCAGTTTTTCAGGGTGGTTCAAAGGGAACTCACCGAGTGAACACGGGTATGGCCTTTTTGAGGGTGCCAGTTTTTCAGGGCGGTTCACAGTGAACTCACAAGTGAATATGAGTATGTCCTTTTTGGAGGGTGCCAGTTGTTTGGGAGTGGTTCAAAGGGAACTCACCAAGTGGATGGGTATGTCCTTTATCGAGGACCAGTTGTTTTTTGTGTTTCAACGATGCAATGCACGAAAATGAGACAAAAAAAAGGGGGGGGAAAAAAAGACAAAGAACAACAGACGAGAGGTCCCTAGATTTTGACACATCTTCTGAATATCGACTCAATGATTTAATCCTCGCTCTCTGATTCTGTCAATCAGATCCTTGCTAAAGACTCAGCCTGTGCCTCCTTATCATCTTGGGAACCTTTCAAATGGCCTTCCTTTCGGTCCCAAACAGGGGTACCCCCTGATTAAAATGACCAGCCCAGCTGTCATTCCACTGAAACCCATGATATCCTCCCATGCTGCTAAGCTCGTGAGGGGCCCGTGCGCATTTCGTGCAGCAAAACCCATCGCTTCGTGAAGCAACCCATCGTTCTGAGCGCCTGCGAGTCGCCATTGTTGCGCCTCAGCGGTTGCTGCTGGCGTCTTTGCATTTTCTTAATCTCCTTCTACTCACAAGTGATTCTCTGCCACTCTGCACATCTGATATCATGCAATTTGCTTCAAGACTTTAAACGTAAAGGCCGGTAACTTGGTCTCCCACGAGCCAGCCGGCCCCGCTCCGAGCTTGCCATGCAACCTGAGGGAGGTTGCACGGCCAGCGCAAAAGTCCGTCTGCGCAAAAGTGGATAAATGGCTTTGTCTCAAGCTAAGGGGGCCCTCCACGTTGCATGTCCCTTGCAAAATCGGCCAGTGGGAATTCTCCAAGACAGACCCCACATCTTGGCAGGCGCTTTTCGTCTGAGGCGTCTGCTCGGACACCTTTTGCTGCGTCTTCTTCAGCTCCTTTCTGGGAGCCCACGTTTGATGCAGCAGCTTGCCAACCCGCCTTTCGCAACAAAAAACACGCTTGGGACATGTTTCCATCCACAGGCGATGGGTTGGTTCGCCGGGTTGAAGCCATGCGAGTGGTGACTGGGGCTGACGGGTCACCAGGCAGGTAGAGCCTGGGGCCTGGGGCCTGTGGTCCCTTTGGTCGACTGTCTCTATCCTTTAGGGGACATGGGAAGAAGTCGGCAGAAAAATGCCAGCTCCCATGTCCCTCCCCATTTGGGGCAGACAAAACCTTTGACATGAGAGCCCCCCAATGCAGGCCCGATAGCCGTGACCGCAGCCCGCACTGGAAGACGCGTTTTGCCCCGGGCACATGTGGGTCAGAATCAAAACCGAGTACCAAAGTGAATGTGATGAATCCAAAGCGCGCCTGAACTTGTGGCTGGTCTTCCCCTCGCTGCCTTCACTTTCCCGAATCAGTGCTGTGAGATGAGACTCCAGTCCACCCCTTTTCGGGGCATGGTTTGCAGCAGGCTACAAGGAAGGCTAATCATTGGTGCCTTTTTTACTTTCACCCACCTGGGTTGATCTCAAAATTGGGGACGCTCGAACTCGAACATGGCTGGTTGCCTTTTTGGTGTCCTTTTCAACAACTTTCTGGGGGGGGGGGCACAAACAAAAGTTTCCTTTCAACCATTTTCTGGGGGGGGGGGGGACTGCAGACCAGGCTGTAGGAACCTTCCCGGGCTCTTTTTGGGGCCCCTCAGCTTGCATCCTTTTGCGTCCTCGCCGTGGCGCTGCACATTGTCCCCGATCATGTGCTCGATGAAGTCCATCCGCTCCTGGCGAAAAAGCTGGCGCACGAACTCGGAGCCCGGAAAAAGGAACTCGCGAGACCCCCTGAAGCGGACACCCCCCTGAAAAAATTGCAGGCCGGCCTCGGCATCTTACGACACATGGTTGGGAGTTTAGGGTTTTCAGGATCGGGGAATGGGGTCTGAACCCCTGGTTGTGAGAACTTTGGTTCATAAAGCTTAGTGGTTGATCCACTCAGCTAAACCTAGGGGGAGTATGTCATAAACCCCCCCCCCAATCTAAACATCTCAAAGTCCAAGGTATGGCTGGGAAGCAAGTCCGTACCCGCGAATTGCTTCAAGGATAAATGCCGGACTGTGGGAGGCAAAAGACTTGCACGCTACACACACAGAGACACATTTGCATTGTGACGTTGTCTAATGCTCCTGCTTGGCACCACAGTCCCCACTATTCACACCGAGCAGAGCTTTGGCTGGGCCGAACCGCAGAGAGAGGTGAGTGGCAACACGAATCCGCAGAAAAGGAGCCGTCTGTTTTGAGGGTACTGTTTCCGGGATTGAAAGGGACACCAAATACAAGGTCACGCCGCCACTAACGGCGCGGAGGAATTCACAACCCTGGCAACGCCCAATCAGTATTCCTGGACATGAAGTAACTGCGGCATTGGCAAATCACGCGCATCGCGCCGCCATTGGCAATTTCGCAAGCATTGCCACAGCTCGGGACTCAGCCCGCCTTTGTTCTCAGCATGACACAAGGTGGCAGCCACCTCTGCACTTCTTTCCAACTGTTCAATCATCTCGAGGCAAGGGAACATTCCTGGCAGACCGCAGCGAACTATGGCTCACAAGATTCGATGACACACGCTAGGGCATATATAAGTCCATTTTGCCTGTGTGAATCTAAGGGAAGGTGTGTCCGAGACTAAACCACAAAAACTGCACGCATTCGAGCAACTTGTGCTGGGCACGTTGTTACCCAGCCCCGCCCCACCCGCCCCACCCGCCCCCACTCCACCCCACCAGCCCCCACTCCACCCCACCCCACCCCACCAAAAGTCATCGAGGCGTCGACCAGGCCGGAACAGCTGGAAAAGCGTTTGTATAAAAATGTGCGACATGATCCGCGCCGTTAGTGGCGGCGTGAGCAAATACAAGCCACCCTTCTTGAGGTATGAGGTGTGACTTTTGTTAAGGGACCCCTCCAAAATTCCTGTTGGTTTCCCTTTAGAAAACCAACCGACAAGGGTCTCAAAGAAAGACAAACCACCCATATTGCACACAAACCCAACAACACAACAAAACAAATCCGTGCCTGCAGCGTGGCATGTTTCCTCGCGCTGTGCTCGGTGATCTGGCCGTGCCTGAGGTGATTGGCCATCTGAAATATGTTCCAAAGGATACCTGTTGGGTACTGTGGATGCATGAAACCAAAAGCACTAACTGCAGGACTCTGTCGAACAGGTTTGGTGGCGAAACCCAGTCATTTTGCTAGCGCCCTTCTCAAGTTGGCTGTGTTTCTCGCAGCGGATCTGTGCCTAAACTTTCCAAAGCAGTGACTCAAGTTGAGAGCCCCGTGAGTGCAAAGTCGAGGCTCTAAGTCACATGCAGGAAGATTTAGGGCTTGTCCCTAGAGCGTTGTGCGTAACATGGGGCTCACTCTCCCCATGTTCTCCCCATGTTCCTCTCAAATGAACCATCGACTTGCCAATCATTCTGCCTGTCCCTCTGACAAGCAACAAGAAACTTCAATAGGAAAGCCAGAATTGGAATGGAGATTGCACATCTGCTTGAGGTGGCCGAATGTGCAAAGAGCACAGAAAGTCGATGATGATTATGAGGATGATGAGGATGATGAGGATGATGATGATGATGATGATGATGATGGTGGTGTTGATGCTAATGATGGTGGTGGTGGCACAGCAAGAAGATTGACCCTGTTCCTTTCGTGATTGAACAGCCTTTCCTGCAAGCTGCCTTACTCATTCTGAGGCCACCCGCAGATCTGTGATCTTCTGATGCGCGTCGCGCAGCTCCTGACTCGACTCGATGACTCGCTGCCTTCCTTTGCCCCGCCAAAAAAAAAGAAGGCCTGATACGAATAGTCTATTCGCAACTGTCCGCACATCCAAAGATTCCGAGCTTTTCACTGCAGGATTGACAGCATGTGCGGGTCATTTTTTGGGGAACCCAGGATTAACAAGCCTCTCGCTGCTAGTCCCCTTTTGGAGGGAATCCTTCACGTGGAACACTCTCGTGAATCCACGTGTTCATTACGTCGACATTCGATGGGGCCATTGCTGGCCCTGCTGCATACGGGTATGCGTCAAAACAGGGAAGACCCCAAAATAATATAATTGCCACCATGTTTCCCGGTTTAACCACCTACCTAAACCAGGGCAGCTTCCAGAAAAACACGTCAAGTCCAGCGGTGCCCGTCTCCTGGCAGTGCTTTGCAGCAGAGTCGCCCAGACTCTTCTCGAGGAACTCCACGCGTGAAGCCAAAGAAGTGGCCATTTGCTCCTGACCAATAGGCTGACATAGGCCAAAAACTTGCTGGTGCGATACGTAGGGAATGAGAAATGGAAGGAACCCAGGGCCCTTAAAGGAAACCACCAGTTGAATGGTTTATAGGCGTGCGCGGGTCTCGAACACCTTGGGCACTATTGCAATCTGGCTCTTGGAACTGAGCCCAATCAATGATACGCTGCTTGCTTTCAGGATCTGAAATGGCACGGTTCAGAGAAAATGTGGCAATTGCAGGTATGGCCAACCCATATACATGTATATGGGTCTGTCTTTCTTGGGTTGGTCCCTTTGCTGGTAGTTTCTAAATGGAAACCAAAAGGTTGAAACCATTGCGTCATTTTGGGGGGGCCAAATCTTGAACAAGACACACCCACATTTTGCCACTTGTATATTTGCACATGAGGTTGCACATGTCTTCCATCGTCCCGTGTGAACCATCCATGTGAATCAGGGCCCGCCAACCCATTTACAGAGTGCATATATATATATATATGTAAATGTATTTATATCATGTCGGGATGCGAGTCAAGTTCCGCCTGAAGCCCCTTGGACTGCGCGGAGTGGTCCTGCAAAAGCGTCCAAGATGACAAGGGCAAAGCCTTTCGGTTCCTTTGAATCTAGGCAAACCCTAAAAACAAAGCCGAATCGCCGTGTTCAGAATCTCCAACGATTTCCAGCCTAACCTCAAAGAAATCTCACTTCTCCCAGCAGGTGATGTTTAAAGCCACCCAAAAGGCTCTAAAAAAATGGGCTTGTCTCTTTCTGTGAGAAAATCTGCCAAGGTGTTCAATTGTCCCACAAAAAAACAAAAAACTAGACCACGGTTGGCCCGAAAGCAGAACATCGCAAGCGAGGTCGGCCCAACGCTGCAGGATGCGTTCTTTTTCCCTACACGAAGCAGTCGTGAAGCAAGCGCGAGACAGCACCAGGCAAGGTGCTCTGTGCAAGTTGCTCTGTGCAAGTTGCTCTGCGTAAGTTGCTCTGCGCAAGTTGCTCTAGGCAAGGCGCTCTGCGCAAACTGGTCGGTGCAAGTTGGTCTGCGCAAGTTGCTCTGTGCAACTTGCTCTGCGCAAGTTGCTCTGCGCAAGTTGCTTTAAAATGCAAGTTGCATCTTGCGACGCCCGCCCGCGGACCAGGGAGGAATCGAACCCGCGACCCGCCGGTTCCGGGAGCAGGCGCGCGAACCACGAGACAACTCCCGAGGACCAGTTCGAACAACAAAAGTCGCAAAAAAAACTCGAGTTTTTGCACCTCGACCACGCCGATTCCCGCAGAGGGTTGCGTGAGCACCGCAGAAATTGCAAAAAACCTCGAGTTTTTGCACCTCGACCACGCCGATCCCCGCAGAGGGTTGCGCGGGCACCGCAGAAATCGCAAAAAACCATGGGTTTTTGCACCTCGACCATGCCGATCCCCGCAGAGGGTTGCGCCAGCACCGCAGAAATCGCAAAAAACCTCGAGTTTTTGCACCTCGACCACGCCGATCCCCGCAGAGGGTCGCGCGAGCACCGCAGAAATCGCAAAAAACCTGGGTTTTTGCACCTCGACCACGCCGATCCCCGCAGAGGGTCGCGCGAGCAGCAGAAATCGCAAAAAACCTCGAGTTTTTGCACCTCGACCACGCCGATCCCCGCAGAGGGTCGCGCGAGCAAGAAATCGCAAAAAACCTCGAGTTTTTGCACCTCGACCACGCCGATCCCCGCAGAGGGTCGCGCGAGCAGCAGAAATCGCAAAAAAACCATGGGTTTTTGCACCTCGACCACGCCGATCCCCGCAGAGGGTCGATTTTCGTGTAGTGTCGTCGGCACTACCCCGCCGCCCTAAGAAGAGATTTTAACTCCTCGCAAGTCAATTGCACTTGACTCCTTGCACTTGCAACTTGCACTTGACTCCTTGCTTGTTTCAAGGAGTCATTGCAAGGAGTCATTGCAAGGAGTCATTGCAAGGAGTCATTGCAAGGAGTCATGCAAGGAGTCATTGCAAGGAGTCATTGCAAGGAGTCATTGCAAGGAGTCATTGCAAGGAGTCATTGCAAGGAGTCATTGCAAGGAGTCATGAGAGCCATTGCAAGTTGCAAGGAGCCAAGTGCATGGAGTCAAGTGCAAGTCGCAAGTGCACGGAGTTAAGTGCAAGTTGCAAGTGCAAGGAAGCCAAGTCCAAGTGCAAGTGCCAAGTGCAAGTTGCAAGTGCATGGAGTCAAGTGCAAGTTGCAAGTGCATGGAGTCAAGTGCAAGTTGCAATTGCAAGGAGTCAAGTGCAAGTTGCAATCCTTGCCATGACTCCTTGCAATGACTCCTTGCAATGACTCCTTGCAATGACTCCTTGCAATGACTCCTTGCAATGACTCCTTGCAATGCAATGACTCCTTGCAATGACTCCTTGCAATGACTCCTTGCAATGACTCCTTGCAATGACTCCTTGCAATGACTCCTTGCAATGACTCCTTGCAATGACTCCTTGCAATGACTCCTTGCAATGACTCCTTGCAATGACTCCTTGCAATGACTCCTTGCAATGACTCCTTGCAATGACTCCTTGCAATGACTCCTTGCAATGACTCCTTGCAATGACTCCTTGCAATGACTCCTTGCAATGACTCCTTGCTGATTCCTTGCAATGACACCTTGCAATGACACCTTGTAATGACTCTCATGAGAACAACTCAAGTGAACACAGCGGAAGAACCCTTCGCCATGCTTTCGGGAACTATGCCTTCCTGCGAGAAAAACCACCCAGGGAAAATCTTTGCTTCTGATGCTGGAGGCTGATCCGCTGATCCGCGATGTTGTTTTGAAGCAACGGAGATCGGCACCAAAGCGCACGAGCCGTCGACAAAACACGTGGCTCTTGCCAGGCTCCACGTCAACAGTGGCCCTGGAATCAACTGGTGTTCTATTCCATGGGCAGTATGGGTGCGTCCTTTTTTTTGGTGGAGGGTACCTGTTTGGCTTGGTTTTGAAGTGAAACCAGAAGGAACACCATTTTGGGGGAGGGTCCTTAAAACAAAAACGCAACCATATAAAGTGGCAAGACTTTTGCTTGCTCCTGGAACCTTTGGCGCGTGGCAGCCAGCTCCTCAGCAAAGACGTTTTGACGTTGGGTCGTGGGGGCGCAGTGTCGGACATTCAAGCGCTTCGATCGGTGTTTTTTTCCGCAGCACACCATGCGGGAGCATGAGACTTCGGAATGAGAATTCGGGTCCGGGAGGGGGGGGGGGGGTAAGCGAGCTTCATCTTATCGTGGACTCCTTCTCGAAACTTGCCATGGCAACATCACTGGAAGCAGCTTGCAGCATGAATGGGACCCTTCGGCGGGCATCATTCGGGGTTCCATGTCCACCAATAACTTTCGAAGTGTGGGATCCACCCTTCTTTCGCCAGGAACCTTTTGGCATCCCCAACAAAAACCGAGCGCAGAAAGATTGAAAGAGTGGCTTCCATGTTCTTTACGCCCCCTGGAAAAAAATATGAATATGTCCAGTAGTGATGGATCCCCTTTAAAACCAACCAGGGGAAAAAAAGAAGAAAAAAAACACTTCGGTTCAGCAAATGGAAGGGGGTGGTTTCGAGGGTTTGGCTCCAAGTCGCCTTCTGAATTCTCTTGGCCCGCACGGGAACCTCTCAGGGCCCCCGACGCGCGTGTGGCGGTCCGCGGAGTCGCCCATGAGCTTCTCCAGGTAGTCCAGGCGCTCCTACGGGTCGAAGACGGCAAAACCGTAACACAAAAATGGAAAGACGGTGTAAAAAAAGAAAGATGTAATGTGAATTCAAAGTGTGGAAAGGGTAGAAAGGTGTACAAAGCGCAAAACGTGCAAACATGTCAAAACAAAAAACAAGACGGACAGTGTAAAAAGGGTAAAATGAGTAAATCGGGTGAAAAGGGTGAAAAAGGTGAAAATGGTCAAAAAAGGGTGAAAAGGGTAAACAAAGGTGAAAACGTTAAACAATTGCGAAAAGTATGTGAAAAGGGTAAAAAAGTGTGAAAAGGGAAAAAGGGTGAATATGGCAAAAAAGGGTGAAAAGGGTAACAGGGGTAAAAAGGGTGAAAAGGGTGAACAGGGTGAACAGAGTTAACAGGGTGAAACGGGTAAACAGGGTAGAAAGGGCGAAAAGGGCGAAAAGGGCGAAAAGGGCGAAAAGGGCGAAAAGGGCGAAAAGAACGAAAAGGGCAACCAAAATGAAAAGGGTAAAAAGGGTAAAAAAAGTGCAAAAACAAAAAGTAAAAAGGGCAAAACGTGTAAATAGGGTAAAACAAGTAAAACGGGCAACAAGTGTAAAGCGAGTAAACCAACAAAAACAATATAAACATGTTGAGAAGGGTAATAGCGGTACAAAGGGTAAAGAGGTAAAAACGGGGATACATATACAAACGGTACAAAGTGTAACACATCGCAAACAGGGCAAACAAAATGCCAAAAAAAGGTAAAAAGGGTTGATAGTGTGAAAAAGGTAACAAGGGTAGAAAGGGTACAACGGGTAAAAAGTGTGAAAAGGGTGAAAATAAGCCTAAAAGAGGTAAACAGGGTAAACAAGGGGAACACAAATCATGTAAAAAGTGTAAAACGAATAAACAAATGTAAAAGAGTAAAAAAGGTAAACCGGGTAAAAAGTGTGAAAAGGGTAACAAGGGTAAAAAGTGTATAACCGGTAAAAAGTGTGAAAAGGGTGAAAATGAGCCTAAACGAGACAAAAATGGGTAAACAGGGGGAACCAAAAACATGTAAAAGTATAAAAAGGGTAAATCAACCATAAAGGTAAATGTGTAAAAATTGCAAAAAGTGCAAAATTTGCAAAAAGGGCAAAAAGGGCAAAAATGGCAAAAAGCGCAAAAAAGGCAAAAAGTGCAAAAAGTGCAAAAAGGGCAAAAAGGGCAAAAAGGGGCAAAAGGGCTGGCAAAAAGGGCAAGAAGGGCTGGCAAAAAGAACAGGGTAGAAAAGGTAAGAAGGGTAGGAAGGGCAAAACGGGCTAAACAGGGTGAAAAGGGTGAAATGGTAAAAAGTGACAGAATACGGCAAATCCGGCAGCGGAGGCTTGGTTGCATGACGAGCTTCGAGTTTTGATCACCAGGCCAACAGCATTGTGGAAACATAGTGGACAAAGAAGACTCATCAAGCTGGTGGGCCCAAACGCTTTGCAGAACAGAGCTTGTTTTGGGTTTTCGTGTCTGCACGGCCGTTGGTGTGCTAAATGTTTCAAATCAGGACTGCTCAGATTCACTCTTGGACAATGCTACAAAGGCCACGTTGCAACTCTCTGACCCATTCTGCAATCACTGTGAAGAAGCCTGCCTTCCTCCGAGGAAGGAAAAAAATACAAAAAACGGCGTGGAACAGCTTTGCAGGCAGTCCTGGCTGGAAGACGTGTGCTCGCCTCAGCTGTCCGCATGAGAAACATGGCATGGATGGGTCGTGTGCGAAAGATGTCAACAGGATGTCTGTGTTTTTGAGTGGACTGTTCTTGGCGCTGGTGCGAAGGGAAATCAAAGGGAAATTATCCTTTTTCTTCAGTTTGACAAAACCCAACTGGATGTCAGTGTCAAAAGCTGCGCAGCATGCATCACTGAGTGGGCTCTATCGCCGAGGTGCTCAAATGCTTGCCGTGCTGGGAAAATGTAGAATGCAAGTCCTGCAAATAAATGGTTGAAGAAGACGAACGGACCAACAAACAAGCGAACGAACAAACAAGCAAACAAACGAACCATGGACTGACTGGCTGGATGAATTAATGGAACGGAACGGAACGGAAAGGAACGGAAACAATGCCTGAAGAACATTGCACAATTTGCGTCAACTGACCTCGCTCTGCGCTTCTGTTTTACTGAATGGTTCGCCAGCGCAAGTGGAGCAGTGTCCTCCAGCGCTTTCTCTTTCTGCGCCTCAAAGACTGAGACAGAATGCACATCAGACTCTGGCACTCGCGCTCAGCTCTGGGAAAGGCAGCTGTGAGGCTGATGAGCTCTTGACCTACTGCAGTACTTTGGTGAATCCAGGTACCCGGTGGAGCATGGTGTGCTTTTGCTTAGGGTACCATTTCCAGGTTGGTTTAAAGATACACCAAAAGGACAACCGAAGACAGCGTTGATGTCTCCACATCGGCTCGCTCGAGCGAGCTGAGAGCCTTGTCGTCCTCCAAATGCTTTCGCAAGGCATTGTGGCACTCCTGCGGAATCGCAACTTGTTCGTCTCATCAAGGATCCTTACATTATACACCTGAACATTGCCTTGTAAATGGTGGGTTCCCTGTATTTTTGTGGAAAAAGCCATGTTTCAAATGGGCAAAATGTATCCTTCAAGGAGCCCTGCTCATTTGCCCCCGAAAAGAAAAAACATGTGGGGCTTACGTTTGCAGCGAAAAGAGGCGGGGTGGGGGGCTTTTCGAAGACAAGGGTTGTAGATCGACAAGGTGCATTTCTCTCCCAATGCTTCGACAGACTCGGTGAGTTGAATTGACATCCTCAAAAATAAACGTCCTCTGGCGATATCAGGGGGTTTGCAAGTAATTTGGGGTGTCTCAAAAAAGGGCAATGTAAAACTTGTTTTCCTCTTGGCTTTCCAAGAAAACCCACCAGCAAGGGGTTCCCCCAAAAGACAAACCCATTTTGGGAACCCTTGAAGCTGGGGGCCCGCCTGCATCTCTGCGACCTTACCCGTCATGTGCGCATGCTCCCGGTTCATCTTGTCCAAATGCTCCTGCGTGAGAGAGCCATACTCGAATTCGAGTCCTCTTCTTCATGACTTTGCTTTGTTCCCACAGGCAAAAGGAATTGGACCTTAGGTAACACACGTCCGCTGTGATCTGTCAGAAATCCCTGTTCCAGGCAGAACCTTCTTTCTAAAAAGTCAATCAGTCATCCATTGCGGATTGCAATATTGGCCGCCCGAAAACAAGAGGCCGTTTTTGAAGGCTGCAAAGCAGACCAATTCAGATACCCTTCCACCAAGAAACATGGAAGTGGGAATCTTCAAAAGGCATCTGTGCACTTCCGGGCTTCTTGGTGGAAGGGTATATACGGTATATAGAGTGCCGGCGAGGGATGAGAACTGTGCAAGTGGGCGCATCCTGCCTCGCAACACGGAGGCAGAAGAATGCAATCCCAAGTTCACACCGGCAAGTGGCGTGCTAGCCTTCATGTTCCGGCAACTTTGAGTGTCAAAATGTTGCCGGGGGGGGGGGGGGAAAGATGCGGAAACACACAAGTAAGTATGACTCCCTATGACTCCCAACAGAACGAACAACACGGGTTCCGTTCAAGCATCAGGCCGCTCCCCCCCAAAAAAAAATAAAGAAGAAAGCATCAGGCCGCTCCCCCAATAAACAAACAAAAATCCAAGGCTCGCCCTTTTTTCCGCACCTGGGCCGAGGAGTGCTTCTCGTGGAGCTCCTTTGAGCTGAGACGCGAGTGCGAAGCCGGGGATGGCACTGTGGATGGACAAACTCCTCTTAGGCACTACCCAAGGAACCCCGGTTTCTGATGATTCTCCTGCAAAAACCAACAATGGTGTCAACCATGGTTTCAAAGTGGTGCGGGATGTATTTTGTCCACCGACAGTAGGAATCCTGACATTTAGCAAAACAAAACTAATTAAGGGTCCATGGCCCCCCTCTCGAGGTCTTGTGACCACGGGGATCTACTTCCAAGCATTTTTGAATGGGGTGCTGGGCCGGCTCCTCCTTCATCGGGAATCTTCAGGATGCGTTGCCAGCTATCAAAATGAGCTGCGAAGACTACAAAGGTTTTTTTCAAGGCAGGACATGGGATCCTTTTTTTCGGGCTCGCCCCTCGGATTTGTGGGAAACCTCATGTCCACGCCACACCGACAAAAGACCACCTTTCGGTTTCAAGCTGCGCGGCATCTTGTGGAGGGGTTTGTTCCCTCTTGTGATACATGTTGCTTTGACCCGCCGAGCGAAACCATGGGAAATGTCGACAAAAAAAACCATTGATTGGGATGATTGTGCTTGCCATGATCCAGTCCACAGATACACGTGGTTCGGCCCGAAAGATGACAAACCCCAAGCCGTTCTCTCACGAAAGATGGGCCGAACTTGAGACCCCGGCAAAAAAGGCGAAAGAGACTCCAGACTCCAAAGCTACGAATGACTTTGGCCAGTTCGACTTTCTCCGCGCAGGTCCTTGTGCAGCGAGCCATTCTTGGCCAGGCCTACCAAGCAAAACCAGCCCGAGTCGTGAGATCACGCATTCACGAAGGTAGCAAGTCGAAAGTGACGGAAGGCGACTGGATCTTCTCACAATTTGTGGGGAGAAATGGTGCCAGTCATGGAAGCAAAGGCCGGTTCAAGAGGATGCTAGTCTTCCCCAACCTTCTTATATGATGGATCCCCGGAAACAAACATCCAAGAAGGGCGTTTCATTTTGAGAGGCCCTGCAAACAAACCGTGCTCTACGACACAGCTCCTACATTTCCCTTTAAAGCCGGTTGAAACGTCACTTGTTGGACCCATTGTAGTTGATTTTCCTCTTGGGGTGAAGCTGATGCACCTCTCAGGGAAAGCTGGCCTGCATCCAGCTCGGCGATCTTCTGTTCGAGCTTGCCATGCGCGTGGCTGCGAGCCTCAGGCTGATTCCAAAAGGCTGGTTCCCACCTGAACCTCACGCGGCAAAGTCGCCAAGCCGTCCATTGAGGGCAACTCGCCGCCAAGATCCCTTTGGTTTCGCCAAAATTGTGACGATCATGATCTTTCGAGGACGCTGCTTCCGCAAGCTTTGGCCCTCTCTACAAGTTTGGACCCCTCCGTGGCAAGACGGCAAGGCCCCCCTCCCTTTGTGGTGGGGCACGTATCGATCGCTGGACCGCACGTCTAAGCTCCCAGAGACCTCAGGGTCCTTTTAACACCGGTTTTTGGACACGACATGCACTCGGCCCTGAGAGACACCGAATTGAAAAGCGGATGGCCCAGATTGTTTGCACCAAGCTTCATTTGGGAAGCCTCTGCCTCGTTTGGGGTCTTTCCCCAAGCCTCATGGGAGTTTCTCAAAAAAGGACAAACGGAGCCCTTTCGAAAGGGACACCAAAAGGAAAAGCCAAGCTTCCGGGTTGGATCTTGTTCAGAAAAACCACTGGTGCTCAGCAAAAAATGAGGGAATGATAAAACAAAATCCCTTCTGGTTTCCTTGGGAATCCCCAACACCGCTGGAAGGTCAAACCCTAGATTCCTTCTCACTTGGTCATGCCCTATCGCAGCAGCAAGACCAACAGGAAACAAGGTTTCCCCTCAGAATCCCCAAAACCGGCTCAATCCCAACACCCAGACTCGGTCATTCCCTACCCATCGCACATGGAAAGCCCTGCCTACTCTCCCGGAGCCGGCCTCGACCTCTTTGAGGAAGGAGCTCTGCAGGTCCTTGCACTCTCAAGTTGGCTGCCCACGGCTGGCTCTCAGTGGCTTGCAGGCCTGCAACTTCGAACAAGAAAGCCTGACGCAGCATGTCTCACAAATCGAAATCTTGGTTGGGCACGTTAGTTTTAGGGTTCACGTCACATTCGGGGGTGAATTTCAATAACCCTTTGGCGGACATCATTTAGGTAGAGATCAATCTCCACGAACCAGAGATAGTTCCCATCTGCAGATGTCCCCGTTGAAATCCAAGAAGAGTATTCCCCAAGAGATGAAGCGCTCAGCAAAGAATGAGGGAATAACCCTGAAGATTCCCTTAAAGAAAACCATAGGGGATGGTTTATAGGGCTCCGTCCAACTCTCATTTTCTGCCTATCGCACCAGCAAGCTATCAAACTTCAGGCCCTACCCTGGCACAAAAATCACCTCCGACGCGAAGCTCCTCGATGTGGGGGTGCCAAGCCGTCTCCAAGTTCCGGAGCTGTCCAAAGCGCGGATTCCAACAAGTTCCGTCGGTTCCTTTCTGAGCGTGGGACAATTCGGGCTCCGTTCTTGTTTGTGGGAAGTGTGAGTCTCCTGACCCCTGGGTCGTTTGGAAAGTTAGGCTTCACTATGGCCCTTCAAAGGGACCATAGACGGCTACAGATTTTGCGCCAACCTCAATTGGTTCTCCTGTTGGCCCGTTTCAACCTCAAGTTGGTATTTACAAACGAGAGTGTGCCTACCCATTCACAGTGCAGAAGCATTCTACGATTGGCTACTCCACGATCCCGCGTAGCTGCCAGTCAGGTGGGAAATACCACAATGCGATCAGCGTGGACGTTCTCAGCTACTCTCAGGGGTGTTATGCATGTTGCTAGGGGCGCTTGCTTTGATTTGGGGTAGGTTGCAGGCTTGCGGTTGATGGCTGTTCCGCCTTGCCAAACGCCCCCTCCTAAGAAAAGTCAAGCCTTTGGTGAAATCTATGAAGCAGGTCCATCCGAGCCCCGCACAAGATTATCCATGCTTCCCCCACAGGACATGGCAAAGGGTGGTCTTAACTGTGTTTTGTGGGGAAACCCCCCTTCTCGCTTTTAATCAATCATAGATTGCCAATATTATTGTCCATTCATGGGAAATTGGAGAGCCCCTTGGTTTGTGGAAAATTTGCATTGGTTTCCCCAACGCCAATAGACCTGCAACTTTCTCAACGACTGCCACTCTCGAGTTCCACATGAGTGCCCCAAACACGCTGACTTTGGGCTCTACCAAAATGGGACTTGCATCATCTCCAGGAAGCCAGCTATACATGCACCAGAATTTCCGTGAAAGACTAGCTAGGAACCGACCCAAATGCACCAAATTGTCCATGAAACCAGGTAGCAACCGGGACCCGGTGGTCGGCGTTCCGCTCGCGCCTGGCTCTGCATGGCATTTACCTCCTCGCGCATGCTGGGCACGTCGCGCTCCATGTCCTGCACCTGAAGCATGCGGGGGGGGGGGGGGTTGTCACAACAAAAACAGTGTATTCTAGGGGTTGATTCTTCTCCATTCTGTTCAACCATTGTTCTTTTCAAAAAACCGATCGCTGTTTCCCTGGGGTTTTGATGGTTTCCAGAAAAGGAGGATCCCTGGAAAGAATGGGGAAGGTACTCCTAGACTGTTGGGTGTGTCAAGGGAAACCAAGCGGATTTCCGCCCCATTTTGCTGCCCTCTTTTTTTTGAGAAACACTGACATATGTTGGGTGACCCTTTCAATGGGGTCTAGCAAATAGAGGATGCAAAAAGAACATGAATGCCCATTAGCGCAAGCGATCGGAATCCGTACAAGAAAAAACCTGCAACTGCTAACTACCCTGCAAGTGCCCTTCTTGCTGTGGGCTTCCAATCACAGCAATGTGCGACCCAAGCCTTGCCCCCTTCCCTTCTTTTGCCTGGAAAGGGAGGGAAGCTGCGACGTCAGCAGCACCGCCCAACTCACACCAGCTCATGGGCTGCTTTCTCGCGCAGGAAGGGAGGCTGCGGGCAATTTCAAGCTGGCTTCCACATTCCGAACCATTGCAAAACAAGGCAACTTAAACTGATTGTATGTGTCTTTTTTGAGAGGACCCTTTTGGATGAAACCAAAAGGAAACCGAAGCCAATGTCAGGGGTTCCGATTCCTATTTTGAGAGAAACCCGATTCCAGCTGCGTGCCAGACACATTGGAACAAGGCCTTCCAGCATACCGTCAATCTTTCGCGCTGTGGTCCCTCCGAGCACTTGCTGCGCGAGCCACTGGTTGCCTGGTGTTTAGAAAAATGCCTGCATCTTGGCCAGCAGGGAAAGTGCAAAACAACACTTGGCACACCTGTTTGAAACATGAAGCTGAACATATCGGGAGGTAGTGTGCCTGGTTTCTGCGAGTGTGTGATAGCATCATCCCTTATGTTCCTGCCTTGTTTGACAACTGGTGCAGCAAGCCGTCACGCTCGCGCCGCTCTCGTTCAAACTGCTCCTGCCATCGACGGGCGAGAAACGTGACCCTGGCACGATGGTCTTCTGTTTCCCCGATAGCCATGGTGAACAAGATAGGTGAGCATCACCCTCCAATGACGGAAGCTGACGCTCGCGGAACTTCCTTCCTTGTGAGATGGGAGGAGAACGAGCTGGAAAGCCTGCTCAAGCATTGAAAAGGAAGGCCTTCTTGCTGAATAGCTGCGACATCCAGAGAAGCCTCGTTGACCATATGGGCTTGTCTTTGAATGAGGACCCTCTTTTGGATGGGTTTGAAATGGAGACAAGAAGATTCAACCATTCGAGAAAAGAAAAGCAGGGACTGGGACTTCCAAGCTTTAGGGGGACTGGGCCTTCCATAGCCTTTCTTGCGGAAAACACAAACAAACAAAAAAGATCCATCGGTCCAGGTCTCAATGCCATGTACGCTTTCTGGGCTCCTGCACGTCGATGGTCTTGCCCTCCATGGTGTTCACCTGGCAGGCCGGAGCCTGAGATGGGCCAGGCAAGCTGACTGTATCAAATCATTGAATCCGAACTTGTCCAGGTCCAATTGACCCAGACCAAACCTGCCCAGGTCCAATTGACATACACCTTGACCCAGAACAAACCTGATCTTCCCAGCAGATCCCAAGCTGTGATTTGTACCTTACTCCGTCGCACTTCGAAGACCAAGTTGTGCCGGCTCCGCGGCTGCGCTGTGACTCAAGCCTTGGCTCATCCCAAAGAGACATGTCTCTGATGTCCTTTCTTCAAGGAGGCAAACAAAAACAAAGGAATGGCAGGCGCAAAGACAAGCGGAAACGAGAAGAACGCCCGCATGATCCAGTTTGGCGGCGTGACAGATTTAGATCAAACTCCCTTCAGTCCCTTGAGGAAGACGCGAGTCCTTTGGTGCATGCCTTCGACCCGTTTGTCCGCAGATCGATGCGGAGCTATGGCTATGAATTCGGGGACCCGTTCGGCATCAAAAGCACATGGCTGGATTGCTTCGTGGTCGGATGGCCATGGGTCAAAATCCCGTACCCCCAGTGAACATCTAAATCCAACCACCAAAATAGGTTCTACAATGGGTGGTGCACCGAACCTACCCCAAAATGGGATCCCATTGGTTTTGACCCACAGCCACGTGGCGAATTCGGGGACGGTTTCTGGGGGCATCTGCACGTGTTGAAACGGTCGGACTCGAAGGCAACCTCCGCCCAGCGGCGGTCGGACTCGTGCTCGGACTTCAAAAGCATCACCTCTCCGAATGTTCCCCCAAGAAAATCAGGGAAAACGCACGGTTGCTTCTTTCCTGAGGAAAACCCCGAGACATGTCACCCCTAGTGTATTGCTTAGATCACCAAAGATTCCTCATATCAGATATAATCAAAACGTATTAAAATGGTCTGCCCAGAGCCATGTAAAGAAGTAAGAAGGCGGCCGCAGCTATTTATGGTTGGGATTGTCCCTTACTAACCTTCATGTACCCGGGCTTTGAGGGTGCCTCATATTATCATGGTACCTTCCCATCAGCCCTGCATCCCTCGGATCCGACATACTGCGCCTCAGCCCTCAGGGCATTCAGGTCCTTGATGCAGTTGGCCGTTTGCTCACGCACCAGCCTGCCAAGCCATATGCGCCACTGTTAAAACTCCGTATTTGGAGATGTGCCGAACCGGAGGAATCCAAAAACATGGCATTTTCCTGACAGCCTGCTCCCGGCTGAGCGGCAAGCTTGTTCGGAAAAAGAGACCCGCAGCATGACTCCAACGCCTCAGCTGCGAGTTGTGGAAGTCCATCTCCTGGCAATGGAAATAAGAAACACCAACTTGAGCAAAAACCGCATCTGCTCTTGAAACAAAGCACAAGCAAGCCCAAAAAACACACCAAGGACAATCTAAGGCTTGCAAACAGCCCAGCGCTGGGGCACATCAGTTGGAGGACCGATGGGAAATTGAGGGACCCAGACGTTCAAAAGCTTGAACGTATTCTATTCCCTTGCACTTGAAAGGAAGCCCCGTAGACTCTTTTTGCGCTAGCTTGCTCTGTCGCACCGAGAAAATATCACCGAGAAAGCATCAAACCCGACCCCGCAGCCCAACCGCAAAGCTTTCTCGCGAGGTTGTGCCATGAGACAAACAAAGATAGAACAAAAATCAAGGTTCAAGGACGAAGCCCCCCAGTCTGGGACGCTGAAGAGGAATGCTCAAGTCGCACCACCCCCAACTGGCTGAGTACTTTCAGTGCACACTGAAACCGAAAACCACCAATTTTGGGGGTTCCTTGACACCCACTGTTGTCAGCTGGCAAGCATCTCCTGCCTGTGTCTGTGTGTGTGTGTGTGTGTGGGTGTGTTTGTGTGTTTGTGTGTGTGTGCTTGCATTTGTGTGGTTTGGTTGGGAAACAAGCCGTGACAATGTCCGACCTCACTTGTGTCCTTGCTTGCGCTGGCTGACTCAGACCTTGTCTCCCCACTTGTCTCGCCGCTTGTCTGCCCGCTTGTCTGCTCGCTGGTCTGCCCGCGTGTCCCTTGGGCTTGCTCAGACCTTGTCGCGTCTTGGCCCCCCAGTTGTCTCCTCACTTGTCTCCTCACTTGACGTGCGCGACATGCCAGCGCTGTGCACCAGCTGCGGCCAGCCGCGCACCATGCCCCTGGTGAGGCGCAAGCGTCAGCGCCCAAGAGTGACTTTTCAGCGCGGCTATGATGGCGCGATACATTCGCATCCGATGAGGAGCCAAAACGGTATAGCATTTGAGTGTGTTCACACTGGTCGCATTGCAGCTGCTTTTCTTTGGCGCAGGGTGCGCCTTCTTCGCAACCAACGCTTCCGGCATTGCATCTCTCATGTAGGCCGTTGTTGATATGTGTGTGCGTTTGCGGATGTATCTCCGCCGACCCCTTCTCCTCAAAGGGGGAGGCGTACGGGAAGGGCGGTTACAAGTCCAAGCCTGGCTGGTAAATGAGCATAACCGAAGATTCAACATCATCATCATCATCATCATCATCATCATCATCATCATCATCATCATCGGCGTGGTGGCCCTCGCCGCTGTCCTTATCGGTGCTCATCATCATCATCTTCTTCGTCATCATCCTTATCTTTTTTTATATACGTTTCAATTGTCCCGTTAGACCCGATTTGAGATGCAGAAGATGCGCGGACATGATTATCATAATGACTGCTGGTGATGCTGAGGATGCGTCATGATGATTATCATGTCAGTTCATCACGGTGCTCATCATCATCATCTTCTTCGTCATCATCCTTATCTTTTTTATATACGTTTCAAGTGTCCCGTTAGACCCGATTGGAGATGCAGAAGATGCGTGGACATGATTATCATGATGACTGCTGGTGATGCTGAGGATGGGTCATGATGATTATCATGTCAATTCATCATCATCATCATCAGCATCTTCTTCGTCATCGTCCTTATCTTTTTTATATACGTTTCAATTGTCCCGTTAGACCCGATTTGAGATGCAGAAGATGCGCGGACATGATTATCATGATGACTGCTGGTGATGCTGAGGATGCGTCATGATGATTATCATGTCAGTTGGTGTTCATCATCATCATCATTCTTCGTCATCGTCCTTATCTTTTTTTATATACGTTTCAAGTGTCCCGTTAGACCCGATTTGAGATGCAGAAGATGCGTGGACATGATTATCATGATGACTGCTGGTGATGCTGAGGATGCGTCATCATGATTACCATCACGGTGCTTATCATCATCATCTTCTTCGTCATCGTCCTTAAATCTTTTTATATACGTTTCAAGTGTCCCGTTAGACCCGATTTGAGATGCAGAAGATGCGCGGACATGATTATCATGATGACTGCTGGTGATGCTGAGGATGCGTCATGAGTTGGTGTTCATCATCATCATCATCTTCTTCGTCATCGTCCTAATCTTTGTTATATACGTTTCAAGTGTCCCGCCAGACCCGATTTGAGATGCAGAAGATGCGTGGACATGATTATCATGATGACTGCTAATGCTGAGCATCATCATCATCATCATCATCATCATCATCATCATCACGGTGCTCATCATCATCAGGTTCTTCGTCATCGTCCTCATCTTATTTTTTATATACGTTTCAAGTGTCCCGTTAGACCCAATTTGAGATGCAGAAGATGCGAGGACATGATTATCATGATGACTGCTGGTGATGCTGAGGATGCGTCATGATGATTATCATGTCAGTTCATCATCATCATAATCAGCATCGTCATCACGGTGCTCATCATCACATCATAATCATCATTTTCATCATCATGATCATCA